GATCGCAGTTGGCCGATGGTGATAGTGATGGACGGGACTGGATTTGGACTAGGGGCCTGGGTGTGTAGAGTAGAGTGGCGAGTGAGAGCCAGTGAAGGCACACGGCGAAAAAGACAATATACCCGCCTACATGTAGGTAGTATGTTACTTGATAGCCGGCCAAATCGTGAGGTGAGAAGATAAGATAATAATCGGCGGGCTATGTAGTATGTAGGTACCTTCACAGTGTCAAGCTGGAAGGGGGACTGGTCGGTATCCATAATCCATGGAGGTTTCGAACTGCGAAGCTGCACGCAAATCTGATGTGGTGGATGAAGGATTCGACGCTCGAGGTATGTACCTCGAATCTGGACGGCTGCGGAGTATCGACGAGGATATGGTTACGCGTCGGCGGCGAACTTTAGGCGGCACTTCAAGAAAGCGGGGGTGGCTTGGTGCGGCTTGGTGCGGCTGGTGCTGAGCCCAGATTCCCCGCATCCCCGCATCCCCGCATCCCCGCATCCCCGCATCCCCGCATCCCCGCATCCCCGCATCCCCGCATCCCCGCACGCCCCCATCCGCGCACAAGCTGAAGAATTACTTAGGTACATATTCGAAAGCACTGTGACAGGGCACGACAGTCCTAAATCCTAAAAGATGTAATGTAGCACATACCCGTCCGTCAAATATACTACGTTCGACAGGAGGATATGTAGGAAGATGTAACTGTTTATTGCTTGCTTCCTCTTTTCCGGGCCCGGTACCCTTCTAAATATGCAGAATATGTCTGCCATTTGGAGATCGACACGCCGGCGAGATCAGAAACCAGAACAAATTTCCTCCTCCGGATAAAGTTCGCATGGCTGAGTCCTTGACTCCTTCAAATAGTGCTCCTTGAAAAATCACCATTGCCAGCGCCTTACAGCGAACATGAGGAGAGATCCTTCATATCCTCCAGACGCCGTGATCTGACACAGTCCGTACCAAGCAACACCAACAACATCAATTCATCTGATCTAGGCTCCTTGCGTACATTCTGGCACTTTATGAAGTATGGAAAGATGCAAAACACGGGTTAATTGCTTATGTGGTGACTTGTTAATGTTTTTGCTTCAGGTGAGATAGGTTAGAAACTCTCGAACAAGTGATACATGAAGCAGACCAATTCTCCACCATCATCATTGGTATGTACCTAGGACGTGGTAGATTCCTTCGTGACTACGATATGAGCATTATGGATAGTAGATCCACCGCCCACTGAACAGGAAGGAAACGGTACCGCTGGCTGTACCGATATGAGTATGTGCAGGCCGTGGCGAACCGACCAGTCTTACGCTGTACAGCGTCTCTCCTCCGGCGCGGGTTTTCCCAGTCTGTGACTAACCCTCTACCCTCCGCACCGGCGTCATGGCGAGGCACGCTGATACCGGGCAGTGCGGTACTGTACCACTGTTTCCTGCGCAGTACTGTAAGTATGGCGCCGTGCGCAGACGGTACCACGACAAGCGGTACGCCTGCTAAAAAAATATCACCGGCACTGACCGATACTCGTCATTAGTGTAGTTTACCTATCTAGATTTTGCGGCCGGTCGCCACCTGAGGGGAATAGACTCCACCACGGTAAGGTACTGGCGCCACTCCAAAGACGTGATGTGATCGCGAATTGTGCGGCCGAGCGGCGGTATACCCTTGACCGAGTCACCATCAACACAGAGGTGCAAGTGGCAATTTCAAGACTGACCCACGACACCCCAAGCCCCGGCCAGAAGTACGCCATCGAGACACGAAAAGACATCGCCGAACCTGAGATTATCATTGAAATTAACGCGCGCGGCTGACCCACAACTCCCAGAACTGTCGATTACACAGACCGATCACCATCGAGATCAGATGGTACCCGGCACACAAAGGCGTCTCCGGGAACGAGAAGGCCGATGAATGGGTGGCACCACCGCCACCCCGCAAACTTGGAGACTGATTTAAAAGACCAAACGCAGAACTCAAGTAATTATTTTCAAAAAACGCCGACTTCGGACCCCGAACATGGAGATTATCCAGACGACAGCACCCCACCCCAACGGTTCAAGACCATTGTATTCCTCATCATCAATCTAGCATATCTCCAGTATCCACCCAGCTCTCTACCAGACGCTGAAGCGCTCCAACAAAGTAAGAAAGCCCACGGCCGCCAGCCCACGAAGCCCAAAGTCGCCTGCGAACCGGGCGCAGACGTGGACCTTGCCAGGAAAACTGGCAGGCCCACTTATCAGCAGCGAGAGCCTGATGGTTGATTAGCTACATACGCCGTGGCAGTGATACTAAGTGGCAACTTACATCCGCATCCGCGAAGGGATGGGGGGAATAGTTCCCCCCCGATGTGGGTGCGATACCCCGGCAATTTGCCGGGAAATATCGTTTCGGCAGGGCAAGCGGCCGTAAGCCGCGAGCCCGACGCAAACGCAGACCTTGCCAGGCAAACTGGCCAGGTCCACTGCGTGGCCGCGAGAACCTGATGGTTGGTTAGCTACATACGCCGTGGCAGTGATACTAAGTGGCAACTTACTTCCCCGAAGGGATGGGGAAATCATTCCCTCCAAGCACCTCGACATCGGGCAAAACCACTGGAAGGTCACCGGTGGAAGATTAATGGCGGTGATGGAGAGCAAGTGGAAGATTCTTGCTGCGGGGATTGGGCCAACCCTAGGACGTAGGGAGTAGTTGGCGTAATCATTCTAATTCCTAACTCTTGGTCAACATCTCTCTAGTACAGGCAGCAAGCGTCGGCTTCACCTAAGCTATATAGGCCGCGGCAGTGATACTCGTTAAGTGGCAACTTACGTGGCCGACGTCCCCGAAGGGGGGGAACTATTTGCCCCGGCTGTGGTTGAGAACCCCGGATTGTTGCGAGTAAGTATCTTCCTGCCGCGGCGGCGTACAACTGCCCTCATGGGGCTGATGGGGCTGGCCAGTGCCGTTGCGTGAAATTGTTGATAGTGGTTGATGTTGATGTCTATGTTGAGGAGAGATAGATAGAGGAGAGAGAGCGGAGAGGGGGGGAAAAGGAGCCTTTTATAAGAAAGGGGGGGAAAAGGAGCCTTTTATAAGAAAGGCGGGTGTGGCTTGGTGCGGTCGGTGCGGCCGGTACTGAGGCCGCATCCCCGCAACCCCCCCCATCCCCGCACACGCCGAGGAACTCGGAACCAGCAAACCAAGACGACCGAAAGGCGAACAAAAAACTGCAGCTTTCGTAAAAGATGGCAAACCGCGCACCCAACGCTATCCTTGTGACCATGTTCTCCTGCAAAGTTTTCTCGTCAAGTCGACAACGGCAGTCACGCATCGCCGCAGCACATTCCCGCCGTACCACCCATCTCCGCGGCACAAGCCAGGCTTCCGCCAACCTAGCCTCCAAACTATTACTGCTAGCGCTGCCTTGCAAACACGCACCGCCCGTTCCCCCCGCTCCGTTGCAGTGATTTTGTTGTGACGACGAAGGAATGCTTACATGCTTCTAGTAATCCATCCACAGGTTTTTGTTCTTTGGAGTGATCTGCTGGGTGATGAAATATATAGACAGAACAACAGAGATAATTGATTCAATACAGCCAAAAACCTATCATCAGCGGTAAGGCATCTCTTCATATAGATACAAGACTGAGGTGCATCCTAACGTTCGCCGCTGCGTATGTAACCATATGCTCGTCGACACTCCGTCGCGGCCGTCGAGACTCGACCAATTAGCGCGAAACCTTAATCGTACCGACCTCTCCGCGTGACTAAGTTTGACACTAGGCTATAAACCTGCGGTCACTGCATGTGCGAACAGACCCGAGTCTCGGGTCTCGAGACGACTAAGCCCATCAGAAAGACGCCTCGGCCCCCAGAACCGCACCGATCCCGAGGAGGGGTTGGTTGGGCGCGGGATCACGCATTCCCGCGATTGACGTCGCACCATCGTGAACGGTGAATAGAGTACCGGCATAACTACATACCATCCCGGCGAAGGCCGACAGAAGGTTCCAGCCGCAGTTTTTGTTAGCGTGTCGTGTGTACATAGTAGGTACGGCGGAGGAGTTCAGCTTGACGTCAGAAATAAGATTCTCCGACGTACTGGCAATCGGCTCGATTGTGCGTACGGACTCGTCAGCCGTTAACGAAAGCTCAGTAAGGGAGTAATGCGGAGAGAAGATTCGGTAGAGTGGATAAACTACTCAGAGCACAGTACTATACATAGGCGGCTCTACTGGAATAGAGTGCCGTGGTTACTGTGCTCGCGCCTGGCCTGGTTAAGGTCGATCATCATTTCAGACTCATCGTAATCCAATCGGACATTCCGACAGCGTCGGCTCTGCTGCGTCTCCGCTGTCCAGCCTCTTGAATTCAAAGCCAACATGTGACGACGAGGATACTTTATACCTAGCCGAGCCAGTTGTCACCCGGTACCCTAGGTATATCCTGTCCTGCTTTCGCACGAGTGATCTGCGCGGTGCGATCACGTATGTACCGTTCCTATTTCCGTCCCCACGAAACCGACCTTCCTCGCGCAGCGGCGGATCTGAGAACATCCGGAAACCCCGCACACGTCTTTTTTGTCTTTCTTTCTTCGTTTACACATGTGGGATTTATTAATCGGTCGGGTTCGGAGGATTCTTCCAGCGCATCGTCGGCAGGTAGAGATTGAAACGCCCGGGGCCGGGGTTCCCTGCCGTATACTGCGAGTATCGTCAAAACGACGTCATCGGATTGTAGTGCTGCAGCTGTCGAAAATCAGGCCGTCCTACAGCAGCCGAATCGAGAGCGAGGCAGAGCTTTAAGAAGGCCCGGCGCGAGGAACAGCAAGTGCTTTCGTTCTCATACATACGCACTACCGTATACCGTACTTGCTTGGTTAGCAGCGTCAGCCGTGTGCTACATATCACCCAGCTCTTTCAAATAACGAAATCGACATCCATCCGCTCGCTCGCTCGCTCGCTCCATCGCCAGACATCTCGAGTTCTGAAACGTCGATTACTACAGACAACATGGCAAACGAAGGCGCCGGCCAGGCCCACACTGTCTTCCGAGTCCTCCAGATCCTGACGCTGATTCCAGCATGGGCCCTGATGGCCGCAGTGGTCAGCTGGCAAGTCACGACCGCAGCGTCCCATTGGCCTACGTTCTCAACGCTGACAGACTCGCAGGTACAACGGCAACAACATCGACACCCCCGGCGGAGTCCTGACGCTCTTCATCGTGACGCTCCTCGCCTCCGTCTGGAGCTTCTGCATCCTGATCGCCGTCCTCCGCGCGGGCAACACCGCCCTGTGGATCGCCTTCTGGGACATCGTGGCGATGGGCGCGCTGATCGCGGGCGTAGCGACGACCTCCAACATCGCCAACTACGAATGCAACGCGGTCGGGCAGAGCACGACGCAGACGGTGTTCATCACGTCCGATGGGCAGCGCATAACCGCAGTCCCGACGGGCACCGCAACCGACAACAGGACGGACTTCTCGGACAACCCCAACAACTGCAATCTGATCAAGGCGGCGTGGGGCCTCGCCATCGCAAACATCATCATGTTCTTCATCACCGCCATCCTGGCCGTCGTCGTCTGCAAGCAGAACGAACAGGAGATGGAAAAGAACCGCACCGTCGTCATCGAGGATGCCCCCGTCGTTGAGAAGGTCTACACCGATCCGGCGGGCTACCCCGAGCGCCCCCGCCGTGCCAGGAGGAGCCATGGACATCACTCCAGGAGCTCCAGGAGCCCGAGACCGAGATCGTACGTCTATGACGAACGTTTATGAGCGAATAGCATACCTACATACACGTATCGACCCACGAACGAATAACTATTAGGGGGGATGGAGGTAGAAAATGAAGTTACGAATGAAACATGAAATGATGGTTACGAAATCAATGTTTACGTTTTTTTCCTTTATTCTGGCGGCGGCGTTTTCTGGGAATTACTTCATAATGTGGGGGAAAGGAGGCGATACTCGAGATTTCTTTCGCTGTAACTACTACTCACTTGTGATGATCTGATGGCTGCTTAAAATGATGTACTTTACGATACCTAAAGACTTGTGTTTCTCCATATCATGGCGGGTGCTCGGATGGCCCGGTTGTCGAACTCGACGGTAGTGACTTCCGATCTGCAACGGTTATAACCGACTCAAGACTCGAGACTTCAACGGGATCCTACGAGCAAACGGCTGGGGGAGGGGGGTAATGATTGAGCCGGAGTATCACCTTCACGCTTCATCTCTGGGAAGATTATTCAAAGCATCGCGGAGCACCTCAACATGGAATCATTCGAACCAGCCCTATTCGACTGAGTAGTTATTGATTGAAGTCTCCCCCTACATACATATGAACAATCCCCCCCCCCCCCCCCCCCACACACACACACACAACTCGAATGCCAATCAATTCCAGTCACACAAAAGAAATATCAAAACCTCAATGTCAACCAGCTGTTCAACAGCCCCGCTACCCCCAACCCACACCCTACGGTCCGATGTACGTCCTTGAGATACCCATAATCGGATGCGGCGTACCATCATGTCCAGGCATGAGCGGGTGCATGGTAGTATTATACCTCGCCACAACGGTTAAGGTATCACCAACATTAACAGTGCCATAGTCCTTGCAGATGCCCGAGGTCGAGATATGTTTCGAAGCTTCATGTCCATGTCCGCCGTCGTCATGGCCGCTGCCGCCAGGAAGGCCGCCCTCGGGCACGGTATAGCCGGGCTTCATCCCGTACAGCTGGCGCGACACGCAGATCTCCTTTCCGTTGAGCAAGATCGCTGTCTCGTGCCCGCCGTCGTGCACGTGCCCGCTCGCGAATAGCAGCCGGCCCGCAACGGTGGACCGCCACCCGTTGGACTTGAGCTCGAATACGCCCTCCTTTGCTGGCACGTCGGAGCCCCCGCAGTTGCCGACGTCGAGCCAGGCCGTGTGCGCTTCTTTGTAGCCGGATGTGGACATCGGGATCCACTCGTAGGTCTTTATTTGTCAGTTTGAAGTCGGATGGGGGGATCTCAGAGGAGAAGGAGGGCTTACCATGGTCAGGTACACGGTCATTGCGACGTTAGACTCGTTCATCAACTCCATGATCATCATGAGCCTATCCGAAGAAGCGATGGCCAATCCGTACTTGCCCGAGCCGTTGATACGGGACGTGGTGCGCTCGTTACCGGCGGCATACAGACGCTTCGGGGACGGACGTCCACAGACGAGATCATACTTTCCGGTGCCGGCGTTGACGAGGACCATATGATGGAGCCACGCGCCGGTATCGACGTTCGCAGGGGTGCCATCGGCGTACTCGAGTCCGGCCTGGAGCGCAACGACGTAGCAATTGCTGCACGGCTTCTGCGGGCTGATGATGGGGCGGTTCGCGATCATGCCCATGGCGTCCATGTTATAGGGGCCATGGCGGGTCTTGGTGAAGGTGGCGCCGGGAGTGGTAGGCGTCTGCCGATAGTCGAGGTCGGGCTCCTGGATGAAACCCGCGGGGATCTCGTCGTGTCCAGAGTGCGGATCCTCCTCGCAGTTCTCGCCCTCATCACCGTGGTCATGGCCGGGGGCGGTTGAGGTTCCGGGGAAGGCGGACAGGATGTCCTCGTTGGAGGAGCCGCGCGTGGCGTAGTTCTTGTTGTCGTTGGCGGGAGCCACGGCATCGGAAGACGTTGTGGACTTGCAGAGACGGCCGTCCTTGACGGCCCATTGGTCCGCGTTGATCCCGGGAGTGGCCCAGAAGACGCCCGTGGGATCGTACTTGGTCTTGATCGTCGAGAGCTTTGCGTAGTTGGTCCCCCAGAAGTCGGTCTTCCAGTTGGGGTTGGTGGAGGACGCCTCGTTGACGTATGCACCCATGTCGGGAGCCAAGGTCCTGAGGGAGTCGGTCTTGACGAGTCCAACACCGGTTCCGATGAGATGGACGTAGGCCTTTCGCCACGCGGGAAGGACGGAAGTGTCCTCGGTCGACGTCATAACCTTTCCACCACCGACAAGATGACCACGGAGCTGTCCATCGGGAACCTGGGGCATGGCAGCCTTGAGGGCGGCAGCCAAGCCGGTGCTCTGTAGGGCGGTTTGTCCCAGGAGACGGCTATCCATGGGGGTGATTCCCATGGGCTCGGTCATATCGCCGTGTCTCTTCTCCAACCACCTCTTGTGCTCATGTCCGCCATCGTCATGCTCGGCCCCAAAGCGGGCATCAAAGTACGCCTTGTAGTTGGCGTAGTCGTTAAATTTGATGGTAGCATTGAACATACCGGAGTACGATCCGAGCTTCGTAAGGACAGGGTCCCAGAGAGCCTTGGAGATGGCCTCTCCGGCGTCAGTGTCGGCGGTGAGAAAGATACCCTTCATGGCGGCTGGGTAGACATAGTAGTACCCCTGGACGCCCTTGGCATTGAGCGCTGGGAACTGGCTGTGAAGGTAGGCGGCGGCGTCCCAGAATCCCTGGCCGGGGTTTGCGGCATCGGTGGCATTGATCCACCAGTTCGTCACAGTGACCGTGGGTGATGGGTACGCCTTCACGGTGGCTTCGACGACCACACCGAATGTGGATCCTCCTCCTCCCCTCAGGGCCCAGAAAAGATCGGTATTCGTCTTGGAGTTGGCGATGACCAGTTTGCCGTCCGCGGTGACGACCTTGTACTCCAAAACCTGGTCCACGCCGAGACCATACTTGCTAGAGAGTGGTGCATGACCACCAGCCTGTCCCCATCCTCCGGCGGTCTTGACACTACCTGTTTCCTGTCAACGACGAAATAGAGAGAGACATGGGGTTCGTGGGAGAGCTCACCGTGAGCAGCACCAAGCGTGAAGAGTCCAGAAGCGGCAATGGCGTCGTTTAAGGCCTGCGTACTCACTCCGGCACCGAAAGTAACAGCTGCCTGCTGGCCAGCGACAGGCTTAACCACGTTGGCGGCAGCAGATGGGCTGGGGCTAGTGGCACCGGTGGTTCCGGGAGTGAAAGATGTAAGAACATTTACACCAGTCAACTTGCTAATATCAAGGCTCAATCCCGAGGGGGCATCATTCCTGCATTGCGTTAGCGACAAGTCATTTGGGAACAATGAAGGACAACGGTAACCAGCCAACCTTCCCAGGAAATCATGTCCACTGTTGACGACTACCAATCGCAGGTTGTTCGCGGCAGCAAACTTGACTGCAGCCTGAACGCCTGTCGCATTTGTCGCCGTGTAGAAGTAGTCCGGCCGCCCGACATCCTCCACATGCTTGGCCTCGATACCGGGAAGAGCAGCAGTCCAAACCGAGACAGTAGGCCATGTCGAGTCGGTGGAGATGGCTTTGCAATCGCTGGGAGCTGCTCCAATTGGCGAAGGTACTGTTGCCGGTTCAGTACCGCTCGCCGTCGGAGTCCGAGTAGTAGACGGTTCAGTACCGCTCACCGTCGGGGTCTGAGTAGTGGTCGTATGTTCGTGATCATGGCCGTCTTGAGGCCTACCAACTGCTAGCTGCAGCGCTGTAAGAAGTAATAATGCAGAGAGCTTCATGATGGCACTAGATAGCCGAATCAATATCACCGGGATCTTTCGATGGAAAACACAAATGCTAAGGAGTGAATGGACAAACAAGAGAATGAATGGAAGGCAGGCAGATCCGCTTGACGTCCAGAAATCCAACCGGGTGGACGTCTGTGTTTATGTATTGCTCTCTGAATTTTATCGCCTCCAAGAAGAAAAAACATATTGCAAAAGCCTTGCGATCTGGTAAAGGTACGTTTCATACCCCCCCAGCTTCGGCGTCGGTCAATATCACCGGCCGCAAGCAAAGCCCTCAAACGTAGGCGACGGCTACCGTGAGCCTCGGTGACACCGTGCACTCTCCCCGCAAGATGGATCCTTGTGGTGTCGTCGATCCGGGAATGGTTTTTTCGATATCGTAGGTATTAATCTGAAGGATTTGGATAAGACATCTTGTTTCTCGTTAAGGGTGGGTGGGTGATGTACGGTGAGTGCAGGGTAAAGAACCTCGGCGCGATACATATCATCAAAGTTAACAGGGAGATCAGGGGATCAAAAAGCTCCGGTCACGGCCCCCTGTCGATCCCCGCGACCTGGGTTCACTATGTATTTTCGGAGATCACCACCGCGCACCGACCATCCGGGAGCCCCACTGGGAAAAAGCGAAAACGAAATCCGTTCCGTTGGTGAATGCAGAGAAATGGCGGGGCTCGATACTGCGGCGGTCCATCAGTAGGTCGCATCTCGAGGCATCATCAGTCAGCTGTTGAGCAATGAGATGTATAGGAAAAATTACTCTGGCATGCGATTAATTGCAATGAGGAATTCCGATCATCTAGGGTTTGCGGCCACCATGGTGGGGAAATCCACGTCAATGTGCGGGGCATGATTGACTGACCTAGAAGCCAGATATAGAGACTTCGTACAAGGTGCTAGATATTCGCTCGGTCATTGAGGAAAGGTCTCCTCGGGTTAGGAAACACTTGTCTGGGCGTCATGTTTACCGCTGTCCCAACCACGTTCCAATACGCTAGGAACGTTCTGATGCTGCAATCCGAGGTCAGGTCTTGGGCGGGATGAGACATCATACAGAGATTGGTGTGGGTCGGAGATCGGGACTACTAATATAGATAGTGGCTGGATGCAGGTCCGAATCGTCGCTTTGTCGCCGATTGCGCAGTCCAACACATGACGTTTCGTCATCTGAGGCCGGAGGACAGCGTTCCACTGGAAATCACTCGGTCGCCGCAGCCTCCACAACCGAACATATTAACAGTTTAGTTCCTGACGCGGAAAAAGCCCGATGGTCCCTCCAGCCAGCGACGTCTGTATCTAAAACTTTCATCTGCTTTTTGGGGAGGGGTTACACTAGAGTAGGACGTTATTATACAGGGTTTCTCCACAACCATATGCACAGCTACTATAATCCTACCCAGAACTCCGGAACAGGCATGGGAATGGCGGGACATCCACTACCGGACTCCAACGTCCATGTACATATCTTATGTGCCTATATCTCCGTATATACTTAGTTTATATTCGGTATCGCTGGGCCCTGTAGGAATATCAATAGCGGGGGAGTTTGGCAGTGGATCGCTGCGGTTATCGACACAGCGCTTCAGCTCCTAGTTGAGGACCTCATGACCAGCAATGGAATGCCGGATACGTAAAATTGTGGCGGAGAAGATCGGGAATTTGGCTTCCAGAAGATATGCACGTAGAAACTGGCCGCGGCTGGCCGCGGCTGGAGGACGGCTGGCGGACGGCTCTTCAAAGTATGTGCCTCACAGGTCTCACTCGTGCAGTAGAGTATATCCAGCAGATTGTTGACTTCTAAAGACATAATTCATATCGCATATGGAGAAATATATCATAGAACCTATAAAGAGGAATAATTGTCAACTCGAGCTCACCAAACAGATGATAATGAATGTTCGAAAGTCATATTGAACTGAGAGTAGGCAAATGCCTGAGTGTACCAATGTCCAGAATTTACGAGAGCAGATTAACGTCTAATACTGTCATAGTATATAGTAGCCCTAGAACTACTGTATTAGGCGGTAGCTGTGATATCGGAGAGACACTCTGCCACTTATGTCAGTTCTTTCACTCAGCCACTGAAGTGTCTTCAGTTACCACCCCATAGGGTGTTGACGGCACATTTTGTCAGTGCCGAGGCTCCGAAAACGATCTGCATGCATGCATCATTCTCAACTGTGGATTCACGAAATACCACCATGAGTGAAATCCACCTTGGCTGCTGATGCGGAATGCATATTGAAATCGTAGCTGTAGCACATGTGGCTGGGATGAATGCGCAAATGGCCATGCCGAGGTAGATATATTGCGACTGGGACCTGACTGCCGTCTTCTCCATACTCGAAACTATGAGGCGTGCCTTGTTAATTAACTAGCCTCCGGAACCAAAAACACGAAGCCTCACACAATCTCACTCGCTAAATAGCTCCAATCTTAGGTTCACGCTAACCACAAGCTAGTGGTCTTGGCCAGCCAAAGCTTGTCGTCACGCGTGTGTAACTGGACTTGCTACGCCTCCCACTCTAAGTTACACCCCACTTCACCTCACCAACGCGGCACCAATCTCACTCACAGCATCGCACAATGGCCGGCCGCAAAACCGCTCCGCAAAAGTTCTCCGCGGCTCTTGGATCCACCAGAACTCACAACGCCCGCGTCAACAAGAAGTCGAAGGCTAGTGCTAAATCTATCAAACACAAAAACTCGCTGCTCGCCGATGACCTGGACACTATCCTTGTGAGTGAGGGACTGCTTAGTGGGAAAAGCGGCAAAAAGTTTGATCTTGTGGAGCCGACGAAGGATATGGAGGTGGACTCGGCCGTGGATAAGAAGGAAGAGAAGAAGAAGAGCGGGAACGTCGAAGACTTGCTGGATCAATTGAAAGGGATGTGAGCGGAGGAAAAAGAGGCGGAATCGCGTTCTGTCGTTTGCACGGCAAAAAAGTCTGGCGTTTATGGTTTTTGCTTTCGGGTGAGTTTGGCTTTGGCTTCTCGTCTCGGCTCTGGACGCCTCTGACTACTCGAATAGTTTGCTACACAAAAGGGACACGCGCGTCCGGCAGTTATTGCTTTCGCTATCGGGGGAATATAGGTTACTTAGGATGATCTTGGACAATCACCGGCAATTCTACCTCCGGTTCCTCCGATGCTGTCCAATCCGAATGATAATACCTGTTTACCTGTTTACGTGACCATCAGTACAGGATCAAATCCCTAGATCTCGAGAGACGGAGTCTGTGAAGAACTCTAGGAGCAGCTCTTGGAACCCAGATACCTTCCGATTTTGTCATTGTCAACTCCCAGGCTACAGTCGGGTACCTATGGGGGGCTATGCAAAGATGTTGTCAGTCAGTATTGGTACACCGGGGAATACCTATTCCAAGGCAGCTACACTCCGCATTTCTTCTCAGGCAGTGCGACTTCGCTCATCTCATCGCCCTGCATGCTGCATCTTGGTCGTTGTCAGAAGCTTATCCTCGGACGATATGGGTTCTAGAAACAGCGAGGGGCACAGATGACTTGATTTTGACGGTGACTTTTGAGGCCAAGCGTGGCGCCTGACCATGAATATTCGGATTGGTACGTTTAGGCTATCATTAGCCCGACTGTGCTATAAAACTGCCTTGCTTGCCCAAGTATCGGGAACGCCACGCGAGCGGAGGTCCATCAACGGTTGTCAGCCACAAGCGGCTTCTGTCCATCACCCACCTTCGTGCTCCCAAACCCCGAATCTCTCTAGATTGTGTTATATTCTTTTTCGTGGCGGACTTGCGCGCCTCGGTCACCGATGGTTAACAGCTACATATTATTACCCCACCTGTATTTATAATGTGAAAGTTGCAATTTATCAAGATGATTTCTTGTCCACGTTGTCTCCAACCTAGGCTCGATGGCTAGATAGTGGTTTTTTGTTTTATCCTTTTACATTCAGCCGTGTCCAATTCTGGGTGGCGGGTTACTGGTCGACGTGGTGATGCAAGGGAGACGAACTGCGCGAATGGCATCTAAAAGTGGGTGAGATTTCATGTTTGGATGAAGGCTTTGGCTGGGTATTCACAACGAGTGAGGAATACAGTGGGAAAAAGCACTGTTTCTATTCATTGGACAACAAAAACCCATGGCCATCCGATCTGCTACGTTCACGGTACCTTCGTAGTTCGCATTGTCTCCACGACACAAAATGAATTCCCGCAATCCGTCATCACAGCATTAAACTAGAGTCCAAAAGAAAAATCCCAAACTCCTCACCAATACCGGCTATCCCAGTACAGGCCCACATCCGACGCTTCCTGACCCCTCCACACCTTCGCTGCGTCGTTTGATTCTGCGACTGCGTCCCTCAATTCCCTCCCCATTCCTGCAGGCCCACTTGCTAGCACCTGGGATCTACCGCCACCAGCGGTACTCTCCCTAAACGCCGCCACAACTTCCTTGCACATAGGACGGCCATAGGCAGCATACTTCTCCAGTCCATGCGTACTATCTGTCTCGCTCAACGTCGGGGCCACCGCCTCGCCATCTCTGGTGATATAAATAACCACCTGAAGCGTAAGCTTACTGTTGAGTGCCGTATCGATTAATGCTAATAGCTCTGCACGGATCCAGGCCAGATTCTCTAGTCGGCGGATGATCCACACGAAGTGGAGCTTTCCGGCTGTCTTCTTCTCGACCAAAGCCGCCAGTAGGGGAAGTGTAAATGATACTCCTGTTCCTCCTGCCACGAGTAGGAAGTTTTCCGCGCCATTGTCGATCACCCGCGGGGAACCGTACGGTCCACATAGAATCACTGGTAGTCCCCCTTCACTTCCGGCTCGTGCCGCTTCCACTAATCGGCCCGTTTCTCCTGCCATCCCGACGATCACGTACACCTGCTCGTGGCCATTGACGACAGCGGGGGTGAACGGGTGCGACTGTAGAAGGGTGATACTCGGGAACGTGAGGAAGAAGTGCTGGCCGGGAACGTAGTGCAGCGGCTTCGCGAGGAGTCTCAACACGACGACATGTGTCCCATCGGCGTCCGTTTCCGTCACGGTCTTAGCAGCCGCGTACTTGAACCCAAAGCCGGCAGTCTTGGATTTCATCCCGCAGTGAATGAGCGTGATCCGGAGAAACCTGCACCCGCGATCGAAAAAAAACACCACGATACTGGCAATCATCCACTCCTTCATCTCCGGCCAGTGGCCCCAGCAGCCGCCCAGGTACAACACGGCTAGGACATAGTGGCTCTTCCGGAACGCCTCGTGGCCGATCCTCCGCACGACCGGGGATAGACTCCCGACCCACAGAAACGCCAGGAGCATCTGCGCGACGAACCCCCACTTGTAGTAGCGCTCCTTCCACTGGATCGCCAGATACTGCGGCTGCGTCTGTGGCTCGAAGAAGTAACCCTGCACGACTGTCCAGCCGATTGTGTGAAGAAGGCTCTGTGCGAAGATGATCCAGCCAAGGACCCGGTGCATGAAGTTGAAGTGCTGGTGCGGAATTCCGGTGATCAGCGAGAAGATGTTCTCCCGCATCGAGAGGATCAGTGTCAGCGGCGTCAGCGCGAAGGCGAGCGAGCCGACCCGATTAGACCACCAGCCGAGTTCGGTACGCTTCTTTGTAGCTTCCTGGATTACTTTGTTGTACGTCCCGCCGATGAAACTGTCCTCGCAACGTTCAGCCATCGGTAGGTACTACTCCACGCTGGAGTAGAATAATCGGGGCACAAACGAGAATATAGCAAGGTATATCACCACCATAACCAAGACCGTGATCTGAACCCTCGTCACGCCCTTAAACGTCCCCAGTAAAAACCCCTGCCTCAGTCCCCTCCTCCTCGCCGCGACAATACTCGCACGGAGCGCCTTCACCACACCTCCTTTTCCACATCTGCGACCCTCCACATCCACTGTCCCAGCCGCGCTCTTTCTCCTCGCCCAGAATCGTAACGCCCCAACCGCGAGAACAAGGCCAGCGACAACCCACCACAGGAAAAACCTTGATCACACCCCCCATGTCAGTTGCATCCAACCCCACGGGGGAGACAAACAACCGCAGGTACGTACGTGTATAGCATGGTCAGATCGTGCATGTTAAAGTACAAATCCATGTACCCACAGTACGCCTCGACGCCCACACACGGCACTGTTTGCCAGCCGTATCCCCAGTGCCAGGTTCCGGTCCCTTTGCCATCCCCGCCCGTGTGGGTTGACGAGTGCCGTTCCGATAGGTCGTGGAGACTCATTTCGGTTATTGTTGCTGTTGATGGTCGTTGGTTTGTCGTGACGGACGGATGCAAGTCTACGAGGTTGCCGGGGAAGTCGTGGGAATATATTTGGCCGACCATTCAAAGACTATCTGCGCGGGTTGAGGGTTGAGGGTCGCGGTCGATTGAGCTCGAATAGCAGCCTAATCGGTCGTGTTTATGCGCACGAAACCAGCGCATATGCGTCCCCCCTCCCCTCCAGCATCTCACCGGTAATTGCCGGCTAGTTGAAATAGGAATACCGAACTAGGTGCCTAATGCAACTTCTTTTACTCCCACGGATGCAATTCATCCAGGTGTATGTATGTAAGCATTGCATGCCAGACGTGGCGTCGGACGGACGTACATAGGGCTGCCCGGAGTCGGTGCAGTATACTTTGGCGAGCGAAGACATAGAAATAAAACGTTCCGCCGGCAGCGGCTGTTCGTGCAAATTTGAGCCCCAATCCAGAGTCCCCCCTCTAGGTCCCCACCGACATCCCCCGGCCCCACCACACCCAACCGCCAAGCAGTACAAAATTCAATGCGCTCGTTTGAGCACGTTTTCTTTTCTTCCGCTGTCTGTCAGGGATGCGGAATAAATGACCGTTCTATCCAGGTATCTTCACCATACGTCGGCGGCAAAAAGGGGAGAAATAAACTTGCTCATCTGTTCACTCCACACGCCGCCGGGTGGATCGCAGTTGGCCGATGGTGATAGTGATGGACGGGACTGGATTTGGACTAGGGGCCTGGGTGTGTAGAGTAGAGTGGCGAGTGAGAGCCAGTGAAGGCACACGGCGAAAAAGACAATATACCCGCCTACATGTAGGTAGTATGTTACTTGATAGCCGGCCAAATCGTGAGGTGAGAAGATAAGATAATAATCGGCGGGCTATGTAGTATGTAGGTACCTTCACAGTGTCAAGCTGGAAGGGGGACTGGTCGGTATCCATAATCCATGGAGGTTTCGAACTGCGAAGCTGCACGCAAATCTGATGTGGTGGATGAAGGATTCGACGCTCGAGGTATGTACCTACTGTTACCTAGTTCTCGTGCGGAGATGCAAGATCAGCACTAGCCACACCAAGTCGTACCCGCTTTCTTAAAGTGCCGCCTAAAGTTCGCCGCTGCCGCGTAACCATATGCTCGTCGACACTTCGTCGCGGCCGTCAAGACTCGGTTTCGACCTTCCACCACGAAACCTTATTCGTGCCGACGTATGTGGCCGACTAAAGTTTGACACTGTTACCTAGTTCTCCAGCGTGTGTGGGGATGCGGGCTCCGCACCGGCCACACCAACTCGCACCAGCCGCACCGGCGACACAGTCCGCACCAAGCCGCACCCACTTTCTTATAAAAGGCTCCTCTCTTCCCCCTCTCCGCTCTCTCTCCTCTCGCTATCCTCAACACATACATCAACATCGACATTAGCCACCATCAACAATTTCACCAAACGGCCAGTGGCCAGCATCAGCCCCATGAGGGCAGTTTTACGCAGCCGCGGCCCGTCGACGCTGCCAGTAACTAGCCGGGGATCGCACCGGCATCGGGGGGAATGATTTCCCCCCTCCCTTCGGGGGACCTTACCACAGTGGGGGGAATTGTTTCCCCCGTGGCAGAAAGATCATCCAGGAAGAATCCGACGACGATGATAACGGAGACGACGATGCCGAAGGGGAGACCGACGATGAGCTGATGGATTCCGATGACGATGGAACCACCCCCAACTTTTGAGCAGGACTGGTACGCCAGACATGAGCCGCTTGACCAACCGTCAGCTCACCAGAATGGGAGACATCACCACCGCAGAACTGCTGGAGCTCCCGAGTACTTTCGGTATGAATCCGGTTTCTGGTTCGACTTTCTCTACTGACTTCTGGACAGAAAAGCCGCGCGCCAATAAGGCGGTGACGCTCTCTGCCCAAGGGCAGGAGCTCAGGAGGGCTGAAATGGCTCGCCGCCGCAAGAACCTCACCGACCAGAAACTGGAAGAGGAGAAGGTGATAATTCTCTTCTTCTTTCCTCTCAATATTGACTAACCTTATTCTTGAATAGATGGACACGATCCACCGCCTCCTCAAGAAGCAGACCCCCAAGATGCGTGGCAAGGGCAGGGCCACTAGTGATGCTACCCCCGCGGACCAGGCCGACTCACTCATGGGAGATGGCCCGCAGCGCCCGCCGATCATGACCTGCTGGGTCCGCAACAAGAAGTAGACGACACCCGGATTAGAAATTCTACTTCTTGATCGACCGAATCGTTTCGACTTTGCTATCGGGGTGCTTTGGGGGTATGATTTCCCCCAACCCTTCGGGGAGGTAAGTTGCCACTTCGTATCACTACCGCGGCTTATGTAGCTAACCAACCAGTTCGACCAGATGTTGTCTGAGTGCGTCTCAGCGGCCACTGACCAGCCCCATGAGGGCCGTTATACGCAGCCGCGGCCCGTCGTCGCTGCCGATAACCAACCGGGGTTCGCGCCGGCATCGGGGCGAATGATTTCCCCCCTCCCTTCGGGGAACGTACCACAGTGGGGGGAATAGTTTCCCCCCCTCCCTTCGGGGACGTAAGTTGCCAGTTGGTATCCAACCCACAACAATTGCTTCGAAATCTCTGCCTGTCCCATCAATATGCAGCTAATACATTGGGTTCTACACAGACAACGGGACTGGGACTAGGAAGCGTCGGGGAGGAGGCAAGGGAGGCAAAACACCAGCAGGTTGGCCCTTGGGCCTTCCCTCGCCGAACTCACCGGGGCGTTTTCCATCCCTATGTTCCACTAGCTCCCGGTTTCCTTCGAGAAGGGAAACGTTGTGGCGTGTTTGGACTTTGGAGGGAGGGGAACGCGAAGCAAGACTGGATTTCTCCGCAACAAGCCGGGGACGACGCCCACAGCCGGGGTAAATCATTTTTGCCCCCTCCCTTCGGGGACGTATGTGAGGATTGTCGTCGGGATACAGAGTTCCCGCAGATCCTCACGGGCTGCGCCCGCTCGCCCTGCCGCCGCAGCGGCACGGCGACGTTTCCCGGCAACACGCCGGGAACCACATCCACAGCGGGGGGAATGATTTCCCCCTGCGCTTCAGAGTAGTAAGTTGCCACTCAACTGGTATCACTGCCGCGGCTTATGTAGCTAACCAACCATTAGGTTCTCGCGGTCACGCCGTGGACACTACACTTGCCACATTTTCCAGGCTGGTTACCTAGAACTGCCCATTTTCCTGGGCATCTACAACTGAGGTAATGTCCTGACTTGTTGTTCTAAATTTCTTGCTGGAAGAAGGGGGCAACGAGACTATACCAGCAGGTCGGTCCTTCACCTGCCGAACTCACCAGGGAATCTTCGGACCCAAAGAGCTACGAGCTCCTAGTTTCCTTTGAGAATAGGAATGTTTTCTAGAGACCGGAGGGGGGGGGGGAAGCGAAGCGCATGGGCGCTGTGGAAACTAACGACACTGCGGTGGATTCCACGCTGGGTGGGAACGCCGTTCCAGCAGTAAATTTACCAGGTATGTCACCGATTACTACCACCGAACAAGACGTAGGACATGTAGCTAATACACTGAGCTCTACACAGACAGCGGAACGAGGAAGCTTTTCGGAGGCAATGCAAAATGAGGATGTGAAGGAGGGCTTAGTGATAATCATCATGTGCGGGGTCCGAATTCGGCGTCTCTTAAAAATAAATCCTTGAGTTTTGCGTTTGTTCTTTTAGATCAGTCTCCAAGTTGGAACTTGGCGGGCCGGTGGTGGTAGTGGTGGAGGTGGTGGAGGTGCCGCTTATTCGGTTACCATCTCGTTCCGGGGACGCCTTTGTATGCCGGCCGCCATCAGATGATCTGATCCTGAGATTCGATGGTGATCTCGGGCTCTCTTCGGCGAAGAGTGGCGATGTGCTTCCGTGCCTGAATGACGTACTTTTAGCCGGGCCCGGGGCGTCGTTGTTAATCGTCCGTATAATGGGTGACTCTTCCAAGGGTGTGCCGCTTGTCAACAGCTGGCTGCTCCAAATACCGCCCCACGACCAGTTACCTACTTTTTACTTACTTCCGCAGAACGAGTGATATCCCACCCACATTCTTGTAATATCTCACTCGTTGCTTAGTCGCTTTCGTGGTCATGACGGTGTGAAGCACTGCCGCACTGGCCGACTACCACCCGTCTTTTCTGTCTTCTCTCGAGGCTTTCAGACTCAAACAATACAATAGGTACTTGTGCACACATTCCAACACACATTCCAGTCTTTGCAGCGAGTGATGTACTGTGCAGAAAGTTACAATCTCCTCATCACCTATACCTACTATCCTACCGCACGTCCTCACCCCACTCCCACCACCCTAGCAGTAGCGTTACTTAGTCGGTCAATAACAGCACCAGTGGTTTGATGTTCGATTATCGATTGTGGAGCGTACCATCAATCCAGCCACCCACCCACCTGCATTCGATTCCGTAGCCGTTGAGAGGTGCCACCGCAGCATCACCAATCATTCGGCCGCCGAGTTTAGTTGAATCGATTCGGACCAGAAGGAGTGGAGTGAAGTGGGGTGGGGGGAGTGGGGTGATCGCCTCGAGTTTCTGATTGTTTCCTAGCTCGTCGTTGACTTCATTGGGCCGAGAAGATAGTGGCGAGACCGGACGTGCGGGCTGTGGCCGCGGCGAATGGAGTGTGCAGCGGTGCGGAGAGCTTCCGCCGTAGAGTTTTAGGGCGTGCCAGAGGATCACAACCTAATCATATACACCGTGCAATTCGTCCGGCAGCGAGCACATCGTTCCCCATAACCATGCCTATCTCTGGCGCGAGACTCAAGAGTGGTGCGGGCGAAAGCGGGACCAACAGACCGGACGACAGGCCGCAGGGTGTAATACCTATGGTACGGTAGACATTCATCAGCCAGCGGCCCGCCCGAGTTGATAAGTACTCTACTCTACGGTAGGACTAGCTGCATCCGGCTGTATTCGTTTCCGTTTCCGTTTCCGTTTGTTTGAACGGATTCGATCGTGGGAGTGGGCATACCCGGGCGAATGTGCCTCACAGTTCACTGGAAGGTTTCGGGTGGTGGGTGGCACTGGTGGACTTCATTGATCGATCACCTGCAGTTGAACTAGCTGCTCGGAGCCTGCGATGTATATACTTTTCCAGATGGAGGAGAAAAGCTGTCGATGACTCGATGAGCACGATCGGTACCGTCCATTGATTAATGACTCAATGGCTGGATGGCTGGATGGCTCAATGGCTGGATGGCTCGATGACTCGATGGGTACGGGGAAAGGGAAAGGGAAAGGGAAAGGGAAAGGGAAAGGGAAAGGGAAAGGGAAAGGGAAAGGGAAAGGGAAAGGGAAAGGGAAAGGGAAAGGATCACAGCAGGAGTAGCAGCAGCAGCAGCAGCAGCAGCGGAACTGCTGGCTACTAATACACCCCGCTTTCGAACCGTCTCTGGTATGATGGATGTATCCGGGGCGGTCTGTGACTCTGTGCCGCTTCGGTCGTAGAGAATTCCAGTCGCAACATGGGATGATAAGAGAGCTCTGTTCCATCCCTGGATGACGATGGCAAAAGTGTTGATGGGTGACTCGCCATCCGACCGAGTGAGGCCGCATGAAGCCCTCCTTCCCCGTGTAACCCCGCTTCCGTCCGCTATGTACTGTTTGTACGATGCGCCGTGAAGCCGCTTAGTTATGCAGCAGCCGTGCCAACTCCGGGACTGCGCCACCGCAGAATCGCGAGCTGCATGGGAGCTCAAGCTCTGCATCATGCACGGCTCGACAGCTCCAGAGTCCAAGCTCAGCTCAGCTCTTGCGGTTGGCTGGAAATCCCATTGCTCATTTCCCAGAGCTTGCCGATCTTGTGGATCGCGACTCATTTTATGGGGTTCTAGAGAAGTGAGGGGCACGATCAACATTCAAGAGGTGCCCGCTTCTACTTCTGCTTCTGCTTCTACTCTACTTCGCCCGCGACTTGAGCTGCGAACCTCATCCTATTCCCACAGCGACAGACGGGAGCGTCAACAGTCCGACAGTCCGACTCCCGACTCGCGACTCCCGACTTCCAAGATCGTTTCCTCTTAGGAGTTGGGAGCAGATATTTGGTAAGCGAAGCACGGAAATAGTTGGGCGTCGTGAGTCGCGAGTCTGGTGACGGGCGAAGCCGTTGATGATGATGACGATGATGATGTCGTCGACTCGTTGCCAAATAAAAATAAAAACAAAAATAAACACACGAATGAAACAAAAAAAATAGAGCATTTCATCCCAAGATGGGACCCCAAGATGGGATGGGTCGTTTCGGTTTCCTTTCGTGTCCCTCACTTTCGTTTTATTTTCTCTCGATTTCCCCAGACTCGTTTATTCGTTTATTTCTCTGTGGGTTGGCCACTAGCCAGTGGCCACTCGTTGGCCGTGGCCGTGGCTGTGGACCGTGGTTGCATGCAGGGAGGGCAACCTCCAGGCGGACGGATAAATCATGAGATAAAAAAGGGCCCTAAAAAAGCACTCCTAAAAAAACCCCGCAGCAGATAGACATCGATGAAACGTCGCTGTGCAGCGCATAACTAAGCACACACATACCGTATGGAGATGGCTGATGCCTAGGACTGATACCGGGACATACATAGGGCGGGCGTTCTCGCTGGCTGATTTGGATTCGCGACGGTCCAGTACTCTAGCTATTATTGCGGTTCCGGACTCCCATTCGACGACGCATTTTTTCACTTCTGCTTTGCTCCTAAGGCTGCGACAGCACCAAGCGACCGAGAGAGAGATCGAAACCGGCCTCTGGGTGGTCAGACTTAACCGTCAGAGAGGCCACTCTACAAATAAATAATGACGACGAAGAGGAGAAGAAGGCACGCTTCCGACATTCGGCTCGCTCTGCTAATCCAGCCATCACGTTACGGGCTGGTTAGCCGACGCGGGCTGCCGGGAGGTGGTGATTGGAACAATAGGGTGCTTGCCTGTTGTTGTTTGTTGACGACGCTCTCTCGCTCGCTCGCTTTCGCATTCTCTCCCCTCACTCACTGTAGGACATCACCTCACCGAGCGAGTCAGTCACTCCGGAGTCCTCCCGACTCCCGACTCCCCTCGGCGCTTTGATGTGAATTTGTGTTTCATTCTCGTTTGCTGAGGAAAAGGCAGCAAAAGACCCCGCTGCTAACTACTGCGACCGCGATAGGCTTGCTGGATGACTGGCCACAATGCAGTAGTTAACTTAGCTACGCCGCGAGGACTATTGGCCGGCGCGCACCGTGGTGGTGGGTTCGTCGAGGTGGAGGTGATGATTTCATGCAGCGTTGGCTGTCGCTTTATTCCCTGCAAATAAGACGAGCAGGCAGGGCAAGCAGGCAGGCAAGAAGCAGGTGGGGCCCGGGGGAGGTAGGATAAGCAGTAGAGGGGATGGATGGTTGGTGGGCTGCGTGGTAGCGAACAAGAAGATGAAGAAGGAACTGCGGACCCAACCTGGAGAACCGTCTTCTCTTCTCCTCGTTAATATTTCTGCCTCCTGCCTACGTACATCGACATCTGCTGTCTGGCGATATTTATACAGATATATATATCGTACATTGCCGACGGACAGAGCGCTTCTTCGCTGTCCAGTTCTTTCCCGCTTCTTCTTCGTCGCGAAACAGTCAAGCTTGCTGTGACGGACGGACGTCACCAGGCCTGTCCCCCGCCCCCTCTCCCTCCCATAGTTGTTCCTCACCACCCCTCGCCAACTACTCTCGATTATCTACTCTACCTCCTTCCTGGCCCAGGTTGTGTATGTGGTGTGTGTGTGCGTGTGTGCGTGGATTTCCCCCGCTCTGCTCATCCATCTTTTATCAACTGCCCACTGATCTCGCAAACTAGAAAAAAATCCTCATCGCAAAAATATAATCGAAAGCCGTCCATACCCTTCCCATCTCGTCGCTTGCCTGCTGGCTCCAGCCTTTATCGCAGGCCCTGATCGGCCACCGATTCCATCATGAGTTATGCCGGCTACCCCCCCTATGACCCCGCTCGCGCCTCCTATTATGGCCCGCCCGGCTACCCTCCCGCCGGATACCCCCCCCATCCTCCTCCTCCGCAATCACCGGGCCCTTCCCCCGCGAGACCGCATACTACCGCCCCGTTTCCGAGCCCGTCGCAGTATGCCCCGCCGCCCGGCGCCCACTACTATGGCATGCCTCCGCCAAGCGCCGGTCCTCCTCCCACGCCAGGCAGCGGCCATCCCCCGCCTCTCGACTACCCACCGATGCCGCCTGCACCTCCGCCTCCCGGCCCGCCGCCTGCTCCCGCGCCCTCGGCCAGCCCAGCGCCGTTCAACGACATGTCGCCCGAACAGCTCCAGGGCATGATCGACCAGCTCAACCGGCTCAAGATGGGCAAGACCGCGTCGCCCGCACCGGCGCCCGCCGTGCCGGCAATGCCGGCTCCTCCACCCCCTAGCTCGCCTCCGCCCCGGATCGACACTTCGATGGGCATGCCACCGCCACACGGGGTCCCGCACTCGGCTAGGGGTCCGCCCATGCACTACGGTTATCCCCCTTACGGCTACCACTACGGCCGGCCCGGCCCATCGTCACACAGCGGCGAGGTATCCCCCCCTCCCCCCGCGCCGGCTCCCCCGCCATCGCAAGGCCGCGGCCACCCACCTCTCCACCCGCCGCCCAAGTCGAAGACCCCAGCGCCGGGGCCGATGCCCGGAGCTTTCGCACCCGAGGCCCCGGCCCCGCCGCCGGCACCCGCCCCACCACCACCATCTAAAACGCCGGCTCCGGCTCCGTCGGGACGCCCGGAACCGGCGAGGAAAGTGTCCGCGCAGATGTCCGAGATGTCGTTCGGAAGCAACAAGTCCCATGACATGGCACATGCCTGGGAACTGTGGGGTGGCCCGTTGGTTGAGGTCGCACCTGGACGCGAGCCGAGGCCGAAGCCGAAGCTGGTCGCGCTTTTCCGCGGAATCGCCGCTTACATGGTATGTCACACGATCGCTGAGGCAGGAATGTGAGAGTGAGTGGACACTAACGCTGCGATAGGTTGCGTTATTGGAGCCTACGCAGAGCTGCGTGGTGACTCTGGGAAAGTTGATTCAGTTCTACAATACCTTTGCCGTAGGAGAGGGTGAAGAGTCTGAGTGGCAACGTTTGTCATCCCGTCGATTGTTTTCTTTCTTTTTTTCTTTTCTTTTTTATAATTCTTTTGCCTAACCGGTCTCGCAGGATTCTTCAACTTGCGTTCTCCCAAGATCCTGTCCGAGCTCTTCTGTGCCCTTAATGTCGAACATCATCTAGTGCCCACCAAGCCGAACCAGCCTCCCACTCTGCCCGGGCTTACGCCTCGCGGATTCGAGGTGTGGATGTTCACCCAGTTGATGACGGCGCCGCACCGCGAATGGCACCGTATTTCTCGGGTCTTGGACCAGTGGACCATCTTCGACCAGGGGACCGAGATGCCCAAGATGATTCCTCGGGAATGCTTTCCCCAAACGGAGGATCGTGCTATCTATCAGGGCTGGTGGCAAGCCGTCCGCGAGGACTATCCTGAGGAATCACAGGACTCGGACGATGAGCGTAAGGTTCCTCTAGGCCTCCCCGAGCCGGAGAAGCCGAGGAGGAGAGGATATTCCGTCCGCGGAGACGGGCCGTCGGATACTCCGCCGGAGGACAACGGCCCGAAGGATCCTCCATCGCCCGCTCCCCCCTCCCTCACACGGAAACGCACTTCGCGCCCATACTCCACCACCAACGTCGTCCCCGACCCTCAGGACTTCTTGACCGCCGAGGAGAAAGACAACTCTCCAGTCGACCGATACCGTTCTCCCTACTCCCCCGCTCCCCCCGGGCCTCCCCCCGGCTGGAGGGAAGACGCCAGACGGGACGAGGTCAACCCGCGGCCGACGCTAGGCGAGGAGCCACCGCGGCCGCCCACGCGCTCACGTAGCGTCAAGCCCAAGGGCGGCTCGGCCAAAGACTCATCTGCACGGCACGCGGCGAAGCGGGGCCGCAGCGTGCGGCGGCGGCGCGACGACAGCCCGGACCGCTACAGCGACGACGATTACGACGACGTCAAGTACGACGGCTACGGGCGGAAATACGAGGGCGATGGATTGTATGAGTCACTGCACGTTATTGGATACGGCGCGTCGCCGCCGCCGGCACCGCCAGTACTCGAATACACCGTCGAAGAGAAGACTAATATGTGGGCGCTGAGCAGATATGAAGACCCCAGTCCGCCGACTAGGGCTACCACCCCGCACCACCCCTCGAACTCCTCCGCCGCCGCCGCTGCCGCCTATCATCACCCCAGGGATCCTAGCCGCGGCCCTCCGCCTAATAGGGATCAACAACTACCAAGATCCAGCAAGCCGGAGAAGGATATCAGGGACTACACCTATCAGGAGCAGTACGAAAAGGACTATGTCGCGCCAGTGCCGCCGACAGTCTCCGCGGCTAGAAGGGCCCACCGCGCTAGCGATGCTCATCTACATCATGGCGCTAGGAAGAGCGGCCAATGGAGGTATGCTTCGTAGTGTGTTTTGCATTTCCTTTTCGATTTGGTTTATTTTATTTTTCTCGATTTGTTCTCGATTATTTCGATGTTTCTCGATTTGGCCGGGCCGGGGCTGGAGAAAGAAGGAAGAAGTTTTGTTTGTCTGTTTGCTTTGCGGTGCGCGGAATTGGACAGAGGGTTAATGACGTGATGACGCGATGAAGACTATATGTTGATGATGATGACTATGTGATGTGAACGCCGATGGATGGATGGGTTGGGTAGACGGGGCAGAAAAAGGGCTGGGCTGGGCGGGTTGGATTCTTGGAGGATGCACGAGCGGGGACGGAGGGAGTGCAAAAAAAAAAGCAACCGGGGCGGGGTGGGGTTGCATGCTTCATGTATTCTGTGTTGACGGGAGATCTGGATGTGTTTTCCTTTTGGTTTTGTTTGTTGGATCGATATGTGATACCTTGCGAGTGGGGGGGTGGTCTGTCTCTGTCTTTATGTCTGTCTGTCGGTCAGTCTGTCTCTTACCTCTTACCTCTATATTTTATGTCTATTCTTTCTTCAACTCTTTCCTAGTGACTATGATTCATGCCGATGATTCTGAAGATGATGGTGGATGGTGAGGTTGCGGGGATATATTACCCCTCCGCTCTTCACTCCCCTCCAGTTTAATTGTTTGTTTCGTTTGTTTCGTTTGTTTCGTTTGTTTCGTTTGTTTCGTTTGTTTCGTTTGTTTCGGTCCGGGCTCCCTAAAACCTCCGAATATCCGAGTGCATAAAAGCAAAGTGTTTCCTTACATACCCGGATAAACAAGTGGTAGTACCAGGTAGTGACGAGGAGATGTGATAAGAGCTGGGGTAGTTCCCCCTACCTGGGTATGCATACGTTTATCCGTCTCCATCCAACTGAGGGGCAGAGATGAGCTCCCCTAATCCGTTGAAACGAATTGTGGTATGCATACCTAGAATCCTAGATCCCGATGTATGAGGGATAACTTGTGAGGGATAGCTTGGGAGGGATTACTTGTGAGGGATAACTCAGGAGGGAGAGGAGGGACGGGAAGGATAACTTAGGAGTAGGCGGAGGTACAGGAGGGACAGAAGGAGGGAGAGGAGGAGGAGGCGTGAGTAATTTGATTATATTGCCATTGGACGTGTGATGGATTTCCGATGGCCATCCACAGGGGATGGGGATGGGGGGGGGATATCGATATGCGGTGCGGGGACAACCATCAGTAAGATGGCGGGATCGGAATCAGAAGCGGGATCGGAAGTAGAAGGAAGGAAGGAAGGAAGGAAGCAGCATGGAAGGACAGAAGGACGGAAAACATATACAGTAGCAAAAAACGCACAGCGCTCCGGACACCAAATCTGACTCATGCCCAAGTTCCGGCGCCCAGGCGGCCAAGGTGGCCAAGGTGGGGTGGGGACGAGCCGAGGGGGCAGAAGCCTTATCCCCTTGTGTGGCATTCCGGGTGGGGTACTACGTACAGTGCATTAGCGTGTGCAATGTGCATTAGCGTGGATAATTCAAGCCAATAGTAATATAGTGTATTGAGATAGGTTCGCTGCCAAAATGCACTATACTACTACTGACCCTGAATTCAATACGCTATACTACTACTGGCGTGAACCTTCCACGCTAATTCATATTACACACGCTAATGCACTGTAGGTAGTGCCCCACCCCGGAATGCCACCCAAGGGGATAGTAAAGAACCCAAGACGGAAACAATTGCAACCAAGTCTTGATATGCAACTTTTTCCTTAGCCACCCCTCAAATTCCATCGCGCCTGAAACTCCCCATGATGTTCTCCATCTACAGAAATCCAGATCTAAATCTAGTTAAAGTCCAGCCGCCGGAACCACCGCTCGTCCTCCTCGTCATCCTCGTCTTCCCCAACAGCCTCATCCTCCCCGATAGCCTTCCCGACAGCCTCCTCAGCCTCCTCAGTCCCTAGGCTGCTTAGCGTTCTCCTCGAGGCTCGATTTAGTCCATTTGGCCGCCATCAGGATTCAGGACGTAGACGTCATACATAATACAACGCCTTGCCGTCGGAGCCCTCGGCATAGGTAGGCGATCTTCTTCATGCGGTCCAGAGCGACTGCTCGCCGCATGCTCGCGGTATTCCGACGGCCTACAGGATCTTCGCTGCTGAGGTGGACTCTGGAGTTATCTTCGGTGCGTCAGCACCATAGTTCTAGGAAGGGGTAGGTGACAGAGCAAGTGACTTCCACCAGCATCCAGGTGAGCACGGCACGATGCGGTAGACTCCAGAGAGCCGAGACTTTTGAGCCCCGCAGCCCTGGCTGCTTCAGCCTCATGCGCCAGTGGCCCAGTTCAGTCAAGTCAATGGTTCTTGCCCTGCGCGGACACCGGCCATCACGGAGCCCCAGTAGAGTATCTTCCGAATCCCTCGAAGGAGGAGGAGATGTAGGGTATTTTCCGTTTAGAAGCCTCGGAGCCGTGGCTACCAGACGAGATACCCGTATCGAGCGGTTTCTGACCGACCGGCGTCTGCTGCGGAGGCGGCTGCGGTGTTGGATTTGCAATCGGTGCCGCACGAGATGCTCCATCGGAGATGTGGGGGTCTGATCCCTTTGCCACGCCGTCGTCGGTTGTAGTCTTAGCCCACGTCGGCGCCTGAGTATCGTCCATTGTGCCCTGCGTGGGTTCCGTGGGTAACTCTACCCAGGTTGGCGTCGTTGGGTCGAGCCTTGTAGTATTGCGAAGTTGATGTCATTTGAAGTCACTCGGCGAGGAAGTTTCTGGGTGTGGCGTCTGTTTGTGGCGGTGCGGTCGTCGGTCGTCACTCGTACGGACCTAGGGAACTGCAACGTCTGACAACGATAATATCTGATGAGCTACACTGCACACTGCAGACTGCACGCACGCACACTTGCAATCTCTTGGTATGCACGACTTGTTTCATCACATCCCATCCCATACGTCTTGGTATCCACAGCACTGATATTCGGCATCGCAGACTGCAGTGCCGTTCCTTCGTTCCTTCGTTCCTTACTTCCATCAAACAAACTAACAAACAGTCGTTACCACAACCGCAAACACTCGACAGCAATGCACTTCTCCAGCCTGCTCCACCACCTTCTTGCGGGCGTACTGGCGGCCGCTCTCGTGGCCGCAGCCTCATCCCCGCGCCTCAGCCCGGCCTACACCGACACCTTCCGCTTCCCTCTGCCGATCCCGCCGGTCAAGGTTCCTCTCACGACCTACACCGACCCTTCGACCGGCGTGCCGATTGACTTCTACAGCATCACAATCACCCCATTCAGCAAGTCCTTCTTCCCGGGCCTCTCCCCCGCCTCCCTGGTCGGCTACGACGGGCAATTCCCCGGGCCCTTATTCCGCATTCAGCGCGGCCGGCAGACGCTGATCCGCTTCGTGAACTCCGGCGCGCGTGTGGCGTCCGTACACCTCCACGGCTCGTTCACGCGCGCGCCGTGGGACGGGTGGACGGCGGACCTGCTGCAGCCGGGCGAGTTCAAGGACTACTACTACCCCAACACTGCGGGCGGACGCACGCTGTGGTACCACGACCATGCGGAGGGGGTAACGACGCTCAATGCGTACGCGGGCCAGGTCGGCATGTATATCATCGTCGACGAGGGGGTCGAGGCAAGACTAGGGCTGCCGAAGGGGAGGTTCGATGTCCCGTTGATCTTGAGCTCGTATTTCTTTACGAAGGATGGTGGGATTAGCGATGAGAGCATGGAGAGGACGAGTACGTACGGTGATACGTTCACAGTCAATGGACAGATCCTCCCGCACTTGGAGGTCGAGCCGAGGAAGTATCGCTTCAGGCTGCTGGATGCTGCGGTCTCAAGGACGTTCAACCTCACCCTCATGGATGGGACGCAGGCACTGCCGTTCTGGGTCATTGCTAGTGATGGAGGGTTCAGAGATACGCCTGTGAAAACAACGAGTTTGATGATTTCTATGGCGGAGAGATGGGAGGTGAGCGTGCCACACCACTTCTTGCTATTGGCTCATGGGGCGTGCTGACATTCCTCCAGATCATAATCGATTTCGCCGGACTCTCAGGAAAAAATCTCACGCTCGCACATACGACGATATTTGCCGATACGGACTATGTAGGGAGCGACCAGGTGATGCAGTTCCGAGTAGGGCCGCGAGTCACCGACAACAGCAACAATGGTCCGCTGCCGGCAAAGCTGGTGGAAATCGACTTTCCAACTGATGCTCCAAAGGTCGAACGCACCCTCAACTTTGTGCGCAATATCGGCCAGCCGTGGACTATCAATGGAAAACCCTGGATGGACCCTATGTCCCGCGTCATTGCGAAGCCGCAGCTGGGAACTGTGGAGAAGTACACTTTCAGAGGAACTGGCGGGTGGAGTCATCCGGTACACCTTCATCTCGTGGTAAGAATAAATAGAGGGGATCTATGGTAGGAGAAAGCTAACATGGTGTAGGATATGCAGCTTCTGTCCAGGATGGTGGGAAATCCCAATCAGAAGCCGGGGAGGAAGTATTTGGAGGAATATGAGAAGGGTGCTATCAAAGATGTTGCACTTCTGGGTGATAACGAAATGGTCACTGTGTTGGCGAAATTTGTCCCTTACCAGGGCGTGTATGTGAGTTTTGTGAACATCACCCGGACGCCTCCATCGAGTCTAGGCTAATCACCGCAGATGATCCATTGTCACAATATGGTGCACGAGGATTTCTCGATGGTGGGTTCATCTGGTCGAGAATTGTGGCTGGAATGTAAAGACTAACACTGCGTAGATGGCGGCGTTCAACATCACATCACTCGAGAACTTCGGCTACGGGAATGTCACTGGTGGGCTGGAAGATCCTATGGACCCACGGTTCAGTGCGAAGAGCTTTGAGGGAACGGATATCGAACAGATCCAGTCCGTGGTGCTGCCCTACTACTCTTCTCTAAACGCATATCCGGAGCCCCAGCAACTTCTTCAACACATCGACGACTACTGGCACAGTTCCACTGCTATCAAACTGTCCGCAACACAGACTGTTCCTTCGGCCACTGGACCTAGAGTCTCCGGAATACGCAACACTGCAAGCCGCACGTTTGATCGAGTGAGAACCATTGCGAGAAGCCTTTCCAGGACGATCCTCCCCTATGGACCCGCGACGACGGCAACTGACATGGCACCATCTCCGTCCAGCAACTTCTTCTCGGCATCAGGTACTACTACGACATCCTACGTCTCAGATTTCACCGCAACCCGAAGCTTCGAGTGGTTCAACACGGCCACCTTCAAGACGTGGACCACAGGTCGCAGCACCAGCACGCAGTACTGGAACACGACGGAAATTCCCGGACCGACTGGTATTCCCGGGCCAACGTCGACTCCAACCCCGCCATCGACCACAAACGGCCGTTGCGGAAGGGGAAACAGCCAGCGGAGCTGTAAAGGCTGGGAGGGCGGCGAGTGCTGCAGCCCGTACAGCTGGTGTGGAAGTGGTCGCGAGTTCTGTGGCGTCGGTTGTCAATCTGGTCCGTGCTTTAAGAGGAATTGATGTACCCTACCAAGTACATACCTAGATAATTGTGGTTTTTTTTTCGTGGGCTGTGTTCCTTCTCTTCTCGTCTTGTTCTTGTTCTTTACTTCTGCTTTAATTCTGCTTTGTGTGCTGTGTGGCGGTGTGTAATGTGGCTGATCATGATGGATGTTCAATGTTGTCGGTCTGCGCCCCGGATAGGGGCTAGTTACTCTACATAGCCCGTATGTAGCACATGCAAATACATCCTGCCGTTTCTTGCTACTTCACTTTCGATTGGGTGCCAGGTGGAATTAAAAAAGTCACAAGCCAGGACGTCGGACGCGATCTCTTCAGCCTTCGCCTCCGACTCTCCGACGAGCTTACGTTCGCACGCATACATACCCGCGCCGCAGCTGCCCTACAGCTATGCAAGTACGTATCGTCCAATGTCTGTACATACTCGATCTATGCGCCCTTTCAGCGCGTGGAGAATGTCAAAATACATTTCTTTCCTCTCGCTCTCGCCCTCGCTCTCCCTCGCTCTCGGAACAAAAATATTCCCTACATATCCCTATGCCGACTCCCGGCACCCGTCAAGAAAGTTTCATCGTTCCCGCTCGCCAGCGGCCAGGCTGTTTCGCTGTGTCGCTGTTTCAGCCTTTCGGGGTGGTGCGCACCCCTGCGTGCGGGCTGGGCGGTTTGGGTGCCGTGGGCGGTTTGGTGTGCGTATTTTTGCGATGTGAAACATAGCGATTCCCGACCGGGGGTAACTATTAGTAGTGAGGGGGGTGGCGGGCCAATTGGAGAGGGGGGAGGTCACTCGCGATGCAGCCTGAGGCGGAGTCCTCCTCTGGGGACTGGATAAAACACCCCATGCTCACGTTGGAGACTACTCCGAACACTCGCAACACTCGCTTTTCGTTTGTTTCCTTCATATCTCGTCTGTCTGTTTCCTTCTCCACGGCTTGAAGCTCGCTCACTTTTTACTCACTCACTTCACTCACTCACGCTGGTCGACGGGTGCTGGATTTTCATTTCGATTCGCGGATACCTTCACCTTCATTATACTCACCTATTTATTCAACAAAGATGCATTCGCCGCTCATGACGATATCGTCCCTGCTGCTGCTCCTCCTCGCGGTCTCAGCGTCCGCACAGAACACACAGAACACACAGAACACCGAAGCGGTAGTCGTGACGTCCACCCTCGAGCCCAGCAGTTCGTCCCCTTATCCCCTTGTCCCTCCCCTCCACAAAACCCCCAGCTAACCCTCCGTGTAGACACAGCGATAATAACCCTCACCTCCACGCTCTCCCTCGCGCCCACCGCCTCGCCTACCTCACCTACCACCGTCACCACCATCACCCCCGTCACGCCCATAATCAGCAACCTAATCCCAACCAACACCGCGCCCGCAGCGAAATCGCAACCCCTACCCACAACCGTAATCGTCGTAGCGGCAGTCGGCGGCACAGGCGTACTCGCGGCGGCATGCATGGGAGCGTACTTCTGCTGCTGCAAGCGGCGGCGCAAGGCGGTGAAGGAGCGGAAGGGCATGCCGCTCGACTCGGGGTTTTTCGTGCCGACGCCTGCGATGGGGGAGCGGCGGGTTGAGGAGGGTCGGGGAATGCCCTCGATGAACCCGCAGAAGATGGCGGACGAGCAGGAGGACGGGAGGATGAGGGGGATGCCGTTTGCGGCTGCGCCTGAACCTGCGCTTGAGACTGGGCTTGGGCTTGCGCATGCCGGTACTGCCTCGTTCAGTGCGCCGTTCAGTGCGGGAAGGGTAGTCACGCAGCAGGTGGAATATACTCCGCCGAGACTGCAGGAGTATCCTCCACCGCCGCCTCTACAACCGCCGGTGGTGCACACTGGGGGGTATAGAGGTGTCCAGGCGCCGGTGAGGGGGTATCGGTCGTGATGGATGTAGGTGGCGATAGTTAGGCATGGATTGGGTATTTGGGAAAATGGCGTTTGGTTAGATACTACATTGTAAATATTATACCATCTACTGCATCGGAACTTCACTTCACTTCACGTCACTTCATACCCTGCCTTAATCATTAATACTCGACTGGGTCAGTGCCATCCATGGTCCTTTCCTTGGTCTTCGCCAAAATGCTTGTACTAGTATGTATGTTTCTCGATACATATGAAAATCACAATGGTATGTGCATGGGTGATCCATGCGAAACAAGATATCCTCGAAATCCTCAAGATCAACCGCCCCTACACAGCGCCCTCCCGCCCTCGACCTGCAATTCACACAATTTCGGCTGCAACCACAGACTCACAATGCTCGCGACCATGATGGCCACCGTATCCGGCAGTGCGATGGTACTCACCAGGAACTCGCGTACCTGGGTTTCATCCTTCTCGCTCCACTTCAACGGTCTAGCCGCCATCTTCCCCTTCGACGAAGGGGCGCCCCCAGCCGGCGTCATCCGCATGGTGTCGTAACCTTCGCCGGGTGCAGACCGAGACGAGAATGCAGTTCTGAAGCGAGGTCTGGGTCGGTCCCGCTGGAAGAAGTAGTCTTCGTCGTCGCCTTCTCCCTCGGACTCGTCGGAGATGTTGCTGTTTTCGACGGGGTACATCGGCGTCATTACTCCCTCCTGCCTGGCGAGTGTGCGCTTCGATGTCGCACGTTCGAGCGCCTGCCATACGGCAGATGGTAGTGGCTTCTTCGAGACCCGCCAGTAGGTGTTGCTCATTCCCAGCCCGCCGCAGAGGCCCATGGCGAAGATCACCACGGCGATGAAGACGGGAGAGAAGCGGACCAGCATGTCGGCATCGGCATAGCCCGGTGGGGGGCTGTAAGCCATGCTGAGGGATTGGAAGAGCATGGTGAGAAAACACATCAGTTCGGTGATGCACAGGGCGTAGTAAGCAGTTGACGAGCCACGGTTGCCGCCGGGAAGACGCACTATGTTGATGGATGTGCGGCCGACGAAGATTGCGGTTTGGTAGATTGTGAAGAAGGTCGGGTAGAAGTCGCGGGTGGTGTTGAAGAGCATGCTGAAGAGTGAGCTTGTGCCGGCGAGTTTGAGGAAGCGGTCGGACAAGGGGAGGTGCCAGAGGATCGTTGGGAGGATTCCCTTTGTGTCTATCAGCATGGTACGGTACAGTGGTCAGGAACCGGATGCGAACCTGTGTCGTGATGTTCTCCAAAAACATCTGGATCGCCAACGGCGCCATGTATCCCCATATCATGGGTGTCACCAACTCCAGCTTATCTCCAAGCTTCAAATCCTTCATCACAGACTCCTGCTCATCGTTCTCCGCTTCCTCATCCTCATCAGTGTCGTCTCGGCCACTGTAGGCCTTGACTTGCGCCTCAGATGGTAGCAATAAGAAGTATGTGGCTAGCATCAGTGTAGGCACCAGTCCGACTCCGGAAAGCACAGACTCGGGCCGCACACCGAACGTATTCGTAAGCACGGTATAAAATCCGGCGCCGATGAGGCCCGCAGCGCCACTACCAGCAGCATACCCGCCGAAGGACATATTAATCATCGGACCGAACCTCGTACAGAGCTGGAAAAACGACCTGCATTCTCCCATCAGTTTATTTCCCTTCCCGGCACAGTTGGGTGGGTGGGTGGTCCTCACATGTCACCGAGATTGCTGGACAAGCTTGCCAAAGCAATACCGACAATCCGGATACCAACATTGTCGCACCAGGCCAGGAGCTGTAGACCCATGAAAGACGAGGCAGCACACACCGTGAGGCGAGTGGGGTAGTCGATCTGCTGAGCATCCTTCTTCTTCTTGCCCGGGTAGGTGGGAGGAGTCAGTGGTGTTCCCGGTGTCCCCTTCTTGCCGTCAACCGGGGAATAGTCGCCGCCAATTCTGAAGAGGCGGGAAATGGTTATGTCCGGGAACGTAATGTACGGAACGAGCATCCGCACCAGTATACTTGGGAGCGTATATGCGAACAGGATCAAGCCCGGGGGAGCGCTAGTGCCGACAAGACTGCGGGGGGATTAGTCTGTGACTTCGCGATAAATGGAGATGCGGGGCGGGGTGGGGGAGAGAGAGAACGAACTCGTTCGAAGCGGTGACCACGACGCCAAACTGCATGGTCACCATAGTCCCGAAGACCCAGAAACAGGCGAATACCACATGCTCCATGGACAGCGAACCAAAGCTCCATTTGCTGCTTCTGGTCATCTTTCTTGTCATCGGCGGCGCCGTCGAGTCTGCTCGGCGGAATGTGTCGTAGCGGCGAGAAGAGCCAGTGGTGTTATTTCTCCGCAGCTTCGTACGGGAATCCAGAGACCTGAGAGGAGGAGGACGTGATCCGGGTGTGCCGGACATGGTGGGCTTGTCGTCTTTTTTCGTGTAGGTTAGAGTTTGGTGCGGAGTTAACAGAGAGTGCTGTGCTTGAGTGATGTATCAAATGGGGCGTAAAAGACCGACGCAGGGGGTGTGTGTACGAGGTGCCCCTTAGAGATCGAATCTCGTGGAGTTGTGCAGTGGAATCTATCCATGCAAGCAATGGGGAAAGATGGCAAATATATGGTACGGTGTACGGCTGGCGGCATCGGGACAGGCTCGTTAGTGAGTCGTCTTCGTTCTCAGGATGACAGGCTTCCAGTGTGTCCAAATTTTCCAAGAGTCAGGATCGTGTGCATTTATAACTCTCCGGATGGGATCAGGACAACAGGTAGAGTGGAATTACATCAGTAAGCCGTCACTTCTATGGCCGCGGCCGGAGTCAGCTAATGTGCTACGGTGGAAGCACAGAATCTCACTCTCCCCGATTTCCCCTTCCCCCGCTCGGAAGCACGGACCTGACGTCAAGACTCGAGCTCCATTATCAATGCACAAATACCCATTGAACTTCACTCCTTGCTGCTGCTGCTGCTGAATGCTCCAACCGACAGTTCGATGAATCACCACATGCCCATTTCACCCTCCGCCCTCACGGCGGCAGAGCTCGGAACGACCGAGCAAGGGAAGAAACCAGGTGCCTGGATAGTACTTCTGACACGGCCGTCCTACCTCCCCGGCATAATATTGCTCGGCCACTCCCTCAAGAAAGTGCAATCGAAATACCCACTGGTAGTCGCCGTGACTCCCTCGCTGCCGCAATACGCCGTCGACGCGCTCCTGGCCACGGGGCTGGAGGTGAAGTATATACAGCCCATCGGGCCTAAGACGCACGTCAACGTTGTTGCCGAAAGGTTCGAGGACACATGGACGAAACTCTCTGCATTCGGGTTCGATGAGTATCAGGTCGCTTTCTCTTCACCCCGGGAACGCTCGACGGAGAGATTTCCGAGCTGACGGCAGCCAGCAGAGAGCGGTGTTGATCGACGGGGACATGCTGGTGATGCGCAACATCGACGACCTCTTCGACCTGCCGCTACCGCCGGACTGGATAGCCGCCAACCATGCGTGCGTGTGCAATCTCGACCGGCAGCCATGGGCACCCAAAGACTGGTTGGTCCTCCACTCCCCGCGTCCCGCGTCCTTCTCGCGCGTTTTGCAGCCACCCAAACTGACCTTTCCCCAGGGTTGAGACCAACTGCGCGTACACGCCGCTGACGCACCCGGGGGCACTGACGCAGCCGACGGCAATCACGCCTGACTCGCGACGGACGCACACGCTGCTCAACAGTGGGCTAGTGGTGTTCACGCCGTCGCGGGGGATGCTCTCGGACATGCTCGAAGTGCTGCACACGTCGCCGCTGGTGCCGACGTTCAGCTTCCCGGACCAGGACTTTCTCGCCCACTTCTTCTTTGGGCGATGGATGCCCATCGGATGGCAGTACAATGCCATCAAGACTGCACGCTACTGGCATCCGAATATCTGGCGTGACGACGAGGTCAGGAATTGCCACTACATCGTCGATAAGCCGTGGAATACCGGACGGAAGCGCGGCAGCGAAGATGAAGTCACCCACACGTGGTGGTGGGATGAGTTCAGGGCGTGGGAGGAGGAGATGTGGAAGCAGGGCGAAAGTGGCGCGAGGACGGTGGAGAGTGTTAGGAAGCACATGACGGAGGTGGAGTAGGTACCTAGAACGTGGTGGAGCAGAGATATACTAGGAAGGTGGGTAAGTGCTTTTAGATATAGCAGCAATGCGCATATGAGGAATTGAGGACTTTGCAGTACCAGAAAGACCTGTCGAGAGAGGGCAGCGGAGATATCGTGATGACAAGCAAGGCCATTGCATCACGCGATCTCACTCGGTCCTACCATCAAGCACGTCTTGCTTTCGTGCAAAGAAGCCAATCTCGAAACTACCATGATCTAGGACAGTCTAATACAAAGATAATCAAGCAGAAAACCCAAAGAAGCCAATCTCGTCAGTGGTCAGAGCGATAACATTGCTGCAGCCATGTCTCCCATACTGTATGGCCAGAAGTAAAGAGCCCTGCCCTCCCCGCAAGAAAACTGCGTCAGTGTACAGTGTCTTCTCGCAATCTTCTCGCAACTTCAGGATTGTGCACAGGAAGCACTGAGACAAAAGAGGAGGAAAAGTGAGCTCGAGGCGTCTATGTAAACAGCTGAACAACCTCGCCAGAGTTCCAAGTTCCAACAGGGCGGCTTCACCTTCACCCGACGCGGGCCAGCGTAGATATACGTATATCAGGCTTCCGAAACTTCGGCCTGAAGATCGGACCGGCCTGCCGACGCTTATCACAGACCGCCATGGCTTGCTATTTACCTATACTCGGCAGAGAGCAGAAAGGAGAGACCAGACCAGACATTGACAAGAAACCTCAAAGATCAACCTCCCGAGTTCGGCGATCACTCCGCAACAGCGATCACCTACCGAGCCGCCGCACGGATACCGGTATTCACTTCCCGATGGCAGGGACCGATCATCCGTCCTATGTACCGTACCTATGTAGAGCCTGGATATGTGAGGATATGGATTGATATGGGTGTATATTCCTCACATGTCCACCTATATCAATCCGTATCCTCACATATCCACCTATATACACCCATATCAATCCGTATCCTCCCATATCCAACCATATTAATCCAGATCAATCCATATCATCACATATTCACCAATATCAATCCGCATCCACCGATATCAATCCATATCCTCACATATCAATCCATATTCACCCATATCCTCACATATCCACCCATATCAATCCATATCCACCCATATCCCCCTATATCCGCCCATATCAACCTCGAGCCTTGGGTCCCCTACCCGCCCGCTCTGTTACAGTCCTGTGCCGTGGGCTTTCCGAAATCGCTCCCAGCCTGAACAGGTGTACACGCCGGTTAGCGGACCGGACTACAGGCCGGCCGCCCCGCTGAGAACCCCGATCCTCGCTGTACGGTATGTAGATTCCACGAGCACACTCGGGCGAGAAATCCGAAACCACGGGTCCGCCTCGGACCGGACAGCGGACACTGGACACTGGACAATGGAAAGCCTGGCCATGTATGTACACTGGACTCTGGAGTCTGGTGGAGCTATCCGCACGCATGCATGCATGCTTGAAATTTGAAAGGTATCGGTATCACATCACATCACGAATTGTGGACCGTGATTGACTCCATCATGATCCCATTTCGTCCCGGTTGCTCTACGGTACTATTCTTGGTAGTAGTTGCGTATGTGCGGGCATTAGCGGCGGCGGCGGCCGATGCGGAGAAAAGGTATTTCCGGATTCCGGCTGTACTATGGTAGGTACTATACTGCCAGTCCCTAAACTTGCCGCGTGTTTCGACTTTCCGCACGAGCGGCCACATCGCATGTCGACTGGAGTCTGGTGACGGTAGGCATAACTACTAGTACACACCGGTAGCACTCCCGTAATGTCGCGGCAGAAACGGCCGGAATCCCCCAGTGCGCACGGTAAGTCGGCCCGTGAGGTACATATGAGCACCTGACCGCAGTCCGTTTATATGTACATACCAGTCTGCACCGCCATGGGTGCTGGTCTGGTCTGCACAGCTTCGTGGCTAAAACCAGTCTTTTGCTTCGATTCCACTACATGTGCCTAAAACTACAATTTAAGAAAGAAAACCTTCAAGGCAAGAGAAAGAAAGAAAAGCAGGACACAACGACAGAAAAAAACAAACGAGAAACGCATAAGAAAGAACTTGAAGGCTCCCCCAGACACCGCAAAGAAGGGGGTGAAACCATCGCAAGATCCGACTAGGCACAGGCCGAGAAAAAACAGAAACCGATGCGATGATTCTCATGCAGATCCATGAAAAAATTGAACTGAAAAACTCCCCAGCAGCCAACCCTACTTCACCCTTATTCCCAGATCTATGCATTTCAATATTACTTTTTTCTTTTTCTTTTTCGGGGGGCGTTGGTGTTTATTTGCCCCACTGCATTCCCTTACCCATCTTCTCGGTCAATTCCCGGATGTTCCTCTCTTCCTTGCACCGTCTCTTGTGGCCAATCTTCCAGTCGATAGCCTGGCATTCGGTACCGCAGTACCAACTTGCTCTACAGCCGGCACAGACCTTGTACTCTCCCCGCTGCGCCTCGACCTTCCTGCAATCTCTCGCCGAGCACTCCCTCTTGGCGACATCGTCGGCTGTGGCACGAACCCACTCCCTTGGCTCTTCGGTCTCCCAGAGCTTCCGGGCGAAGAAAACGTAGTCCATGGCCTCGGGCTCGGACCCAAGTCCGCGGGGGCTAGGGTTGGGACCACTGGGCCAGGTGTCGACCGGCGCGAGCAACAGGTCAACGACGTGGTTGTTGGCCTTGTTACCCTCGCGCAGCCAGCTGGTGGAGAGCGTGCAGGGGCCAAAGAGGTTGAAGCACGCAAGGGCGGAGGTGAAAATCAATGACGTGTGACCGAGGTTCTGGACCTTGATGTTCAGGGACAGGTCGGGGTTCAGGTCTTCCTTGGTGTAGCGGTCGAGCTGCGCGAATCCGCCCTTGGGGCAGTAGCGTGTGCTGTCGTAGTCGTCGTGAGCGGTGTCGAGCCAGCTCAAACAGAAGTTGAGAGCTTCGAGCGGACGGTTGAGGTGGAGGAGGAAAACGGGGACGCGGTCACGGATACCTGCATACGGTCAGTTTCGATGCTTTGCTAAGGGGGACCGCCACACCCCCGTGGGAGCGGTGGAACGAGACGGAAAACAGAGGAGGACCAACCATTATTGTCACCGTGGTTCATCTCAAGAACCCGCCTTGCATACTCGACGGCTGTCTCGTACTCTCCGCAGTCGGCGGCAGAGACGACAATGTCGAGCAGCAACCTCACGTAGCCCCTGGTCTCAACCAGACGCCAGAAATGGCCATAGACCTCACTGGTGGGCTCGAAGCATTCGTCGCCGTAGAGCCTCATGATGGCATTGTCGGCATCTGGGACGGCGAGAAGCAGGAACTCGAGCTTCTGGCTGTCGGAGAGGTTGGGACGACGGATAGCATTGCGGAGAGGCTCCAAAGTCGAGTGGTTTCCACCAATGGCTCTGGAAAGGTGCGTCTTCGCGGTAGTGAAGTCGGGGTTCGCTCGGGAGAGCAGCCGTTTGATTTCGTTAATGGCACGGCTCTGGGGAGGAGTGGGAGCACTGGACGAGACGGAAGCTCAATGTTAGCGGATGAAGCTAGGGAACAGAAAGTTGGTGCTCATCGTACTTGGTAGGTCCGCTCGACATGATGGATGATTGCTCAGGGGAGTGTTGATGGAGTTGAAAGTTGGGGGAGGGTCTACTCGGTGAGGAGACTTGCTGCAATTCGAAGTTTGGGATAGGGGGAAGCAAATATTTTGGCAAGAGAGTTGCGGAGCAGAAGAAGGGGTTAGTTATTAGGGGGAGAAGGAGGGACAGGGCGATGTGAAAGGACAGGTGGAGCTTATTAGGTAGGCTCTCTCGTGTGATTGAGCAGTTAGTAAGGCTCGATATCCCTGAGCTGAACGCAGCGTGTGAGGGAGCCTGTGCACGAGCAGGGGTTCTCCACAAAAAGCACGAAGGAATGACACGATTGGCTCAGGGGCGAAGAAACAGCCGGGTTATTGTGAGGGGGCTCGGAGGGAGGATGATTATGTCAGCCTTTTTTTATTTTATCTTATTTTATTTTGGCCAGCTGTTCCAAGGCCAACTTCCAAGGTGACAGGGCGGCACGTTTCCCCTTGCAGCTGGACGGAAGGGCTGAAGTCGAAGACGAAGAGGACGGAGCTCGAATTACTGGCTAGTGCATAACTTGGTGGTTTTGCTTGGTGGTTTGCTTGCTTGTTTACCAGTGTCCGCACTCAATTCCACATCAAACACAGACAACCTTCCAGGGCAGTTGGCATCTCGAAGCCGTTGCCGCCATTGGAACGAACGGCTGAATCAACATCAACATCGACAATGCAGGCAGGAAACAGCTGTGTGTGCCATTCATGCCATCCGGAATTAGGTTCCTTCGTTCTGCACGAAAGAAAAAAAATGTTAAAAAGAAAAAAGTTACTCCAGAACACGAACCCTGCGTTTACTGCATGCAGCAGCAGCAATACCCAGTCAGCCAGTCAGGAAGTCAGCCGTCGCGGGTCGTCTCCCCTTGGTGGTACTCCCGCGTTCGGTCGAGCTTCCCACGCCTTATGTAGTCGAGAAGAGGCTGATCGGCCAGGTATTCTAAGCCAGTCCACGTAGAAGTAGAGTACTGCTCCCCGCGGTAGGTTTGAAGGTTGTAGGTTAAAGGTGGCAGATTGTAGGTTATGTTGTAGGTTGCAGAACAGGTGGGTAGATTCTGGAGCGGGTTCCAAGGGTTGGAAGCTTAAAGCCAATCGCCAGTTTAACGGCCACCTGTGATCGCCCGATTCTCGACCTTTCGGCTGCGAGGGCTTGCGACGGGACTTCCTTGGAATCCTTGCCACTCGGGTGGGAACCCATCAAAGATTACTAGTCTCTTGGCACTTCCTCCTCCACCACCTCCTTAAGGCTTGGAATACAGAAGATACCCCCTCCCCCACCATCGTTCGACGTGCTAATTCTCAACATGCAGCGATACCTACCAGTACTATCATATTCAACTCAATTCTTCGGTATTCTTGCCGCAAGACCTTGAGGCGTTGGCTCCTGCGGAAAAACTGAAGTTGAGTGAAGAGCTGATGGAAAACCACCACTAAAACCCGCCTCCCCGCGACAAGAGCTCCGAGGAGGTCAACGACCGCGAGCATTGAAATGCCTGGACCAGTAGTGCGACTGGGCCGTTCTAAGGTGCATGTAAGCCCCCGAGGAGTAAGCAGACTCGTAAACGCATCGGTTGACCCGCCCTATGTACAGATGTACATACTTCTGCAAGGTATAAATACATTCAGCCCGCTTCATAAGATGGGTTGCATGCCGACGGCAGTTGTTTTCAGCTACTCGGAGCCATCAATATTCCCGCCGCGGATCTCTCATGACTGCGTCTAGGATGTCTTTCCTTACTGGCACTCCATCTCACCACATGGTATCACGATACCTAGCTCATCTGCCTGTCAATCGAGTCCCCTTGTCCAAGCTGGACAATGTAGATGTCATCTTTCCGGAACGAAGGTCGTGGAATTTTCCGGAACGAAGCTTGAGTTCGAGAGTCTCGGAGATATACTCTAGTGTCGACTTACGAGTGAGGTATTTAACCTTAATCAAGGTTCGACATAGACAGATCCCTAGGGATGATCGGCTATACATGGGATAGCCTGGAGAGTGTCTACGTACTCTATGTGCCTAATTTTCCGCTCCTTCACTGAAGGGTGATGCAGCTCGAGTACCTAGTGGTCGTGGAGAGGGTGACTATGGAGGGAATCGTACTCGATTCCCTGTTCCTCGTCATTCATCGACGTCTTCCATCCGAGGCTGGCATCTCGAAGACGTCTCCGCCTAAATCTAAACAATTGCATGAAATACAAGCCAACGCAAGTCGACTCTCGCGCCTTGTATACCACGCATTTGCCAGTCTCTACTCGCACACCACGGGTCGTCTGAGTGACCCGTCATGATCCGCGCCGCGAGACGTTCGGATACCTCGAGTTCTCGTTTGAAACGCAGTCCTGAATGGCGATTTATTGGTGTACTGGGCGTTTTGCAGGCAGCTTCGGGCCCAGCCTCCAGCGCCCGTTGGCTGGTCATGACATCCCATTTCCTTTGATGTCGTGTCGTGTCGTGTCTATATAGACGTTAAGCTTCAGTAGGTTACATCTTATTCCACTCAAGACTTCAACTAAAGTATGGTTAGTGGTAAGTTAAACCTGGAGTGACGATTCGAAATATTTTGATTATCTTTGCTTGGACTCTTCAAAACTGCAGTGGCCACGACTGCCTGCCACTCATAAAAGAGCGGCGGGAGTGCGTACCAAATACCTCTGCAACAAGGTCCCGATTCTAATTCCTCCTCCTCCTTCTGAGGGAGTGGGTACTGCTAATATACCGGCGAACATTCACTCTATTCACACTCTTCTTCACTCTCCAACCTCTGGCTATCATCACCACGATGAAGCTCCTTGCAGCTGCTGCTGCCTCGTTCGCCGTTTGGGCAGTCGCCACTGCGGACCCTGTGCTGTCATCGACCGAGATAGCGATTTCTGCTGGCATTTTGAATGGCGAAAACAATCTGTGAGTGTTCGTGGACTGATAATGTGGAACGGTGCTGACGGGAAATACAGGAGCCTGACCGAGACCGGCCTGGCGAATCAAACCGATGACAAGTTGCTGATGGGCAATAAGGAAAGCTTCCAGCGTTTGGAAACCGTCATAGCTACAGCCACTCCTGCTACGTCTCAAGATGCCACCGCCGAACGAGAGGCCATCATTACTGCTACCACTCAAAGTATCAGGCACACGAAAATCGCCGAAGATGTTCGGGCAATCACCTCCACGGCTATAATCATTGAGACGGCTACTGCCACTCCCGAGTTTGCCACTACGACCGCCACTCACAAATCTGCCACTCTGACTGCGAACCACGAGACTGCGGCTGTTGGGTCCATTACTGCCCATCCCACGACTATTACACACGCAACATATATCGACGCATATGGTGACGTGACAGAGGTTGACGATTTCTATCTTGAGCCGTGAGTCCAGACTGTCCGTGATTTCCTCCAGATGCTGACCAGTCTCCAGTTCCGAATCCTTGTGGATCTCGCCCATCGGCGAAGACGACGAGCAGTTCGACTACGAGTCACCCGAGCGCATGCTCCTGTCCACCGTTGTGCCACTCACCTCTGCTACCGAGGAGGCCGAGCCCACGTCTACCCCCACTACGGCTGCGTCGGATACCAAGTCCAGCTATGATCTCGCGGAGGTCCTACCCGCCGAGCTCGACGTCGATGCCATGGGGCGGCTACTCAACGACACCAAGATCCTGCACAAGCTTGCGCAGTCGGACATTGACGCGATCGAGATCTGCCGGTCGTACGCCTTCGACGCCAGCCAGCTCAACTGGCACATCTCCCAGGCCGAGGAGTGGATGCGCCAGTACTCCCTCGAGAATAAGGACCGCGAGTACTTCAAAAGAAACGGGCTCATCGCCACTATCGCCTTCGATTTCCTCGGCATGAATAATTATAAGTGTGCCATCGGATTCACTCAGTTGTGCACTGTCGATTGCCCTACCGTCGTCAGAGGTATCGATGATCTGGAGCTGGCCAGGAAAGTCTATTTCGTCATGGCTAGTGCGTTGAATATGTTGTCGGTCTTAGACACCGTTCATGTAAGTGCCCTCATAGAAACTCACACGGCAGATACTGCATTGACTGATCTGCTCCGGGTTTTCAGGGCACTATGGTGGCATCTCAGATGAACCTGCAGGGCATGGTTCAGAAGATGTCGATGGACTTCTTCTACACCTCGCCGACGGAGGGGGAGCGGGAGCGGCAGCGGCTCTGGCACTTTTTCGTGCAGCTCACGATCTGGAGCGCACAGACGGCGATCAACTCGGTAGTTCCACTTATCCCATGGTCTACGATCCAAGACTACGTCTTGTACCGGGTCAGCAAGCTCGCCAAGGTGACGCTGGACCACACTGGTCGGATCGACCGCTTCGACGACCACGAGTTCGACGAGTGGCGCGGGCGCGTGATCGAGGAGACGCTGGGCGACATCATGTACACGCAGCTCAACAACAACATCGAGCCGCTGCGGGTGCCGCCGCGGTACGGCGGACACTACCGCTGGAACCCGGGCGGCGCCACGATCTCGGACTGGATGCGCGTCAACTCGCATGCCACAAGGATGTGGGAACACTACTTCTACGACAGGCAGCTGCCCATGTGCTACGAAGATAGGGCGTATCATGCCGATAACCGAAGGGGCATCGATATTGGCGCAGACTTTAGGAGAAGGGCCACTATGGAGGGGTTCTGGTCCGCCGTCGGTCACGCCTGGAAAGATACTAAGGAGCTCGTCCATGGAACGTATGATCGCGCCGCCGGTATGTATCAGCATCTGAAACATGGCTACAACGGGTATATCGACCACCTGCGACACACGGAGCCGCCGTCGCACCTGGAGCCCGGCCAGAGGATCGCATCCATTGGGGGGGAGAGTTCCTGGCACCCCCGCGATCAATGGCGAAAGGAGTACGGCCCGTCCAGACGAGAACTGCTCTATGACATCTGGACGCGCGGGATCTCGGCGCAAGGGGAATATGGATACAGGCCGTCCATCGAACACGTGGTGAGCAACATAACGATCAAGCTGGACAACGTTCGCACTGCCATGAGCAAGTTGTATCCTGTCGCCCTCAACTTGGCCATGCCCATGTACATCCGCGAGACCATGGAGAGCTTTACGTTTTCCGGAACGGACAAGCACCACGAGGTGAACTCGGCAAATTTGGCGTTCATGGTCCAGGAATCCGGACGATACTCACGGAGGATTGTAAAGCAGAATGTCAACGCCATGTTCGGATCCTCCATTGTCGGGCCCCAAGGTGAGTTGATCTCCATTGTGCTTTTCCCTCCCAGCCGTGTGATAACTGATGATTACAGGCGAAACCCACCTCTCGAACGCATTGGCGATGGGCAACTATCTCCCGGTGGACAAAGGCACGCTCAACGACTGGACTGATGCGAGCATCGAGGACGCAATCACCAAGAATATGTACTACAAGACCCTTGACGCCGCGCTGCGCTCGCAGAAGCACTGGATCCAATGCACGACGCACCTCCTGCGCAAGAAGCACATGAATTCGATCCTGCACAAGGTCGTGCAGGAAGTATCCACATGCATCGCAGACAACACGGGTCCCGAACACCTCCGCTCCTGCCTTCCTCCCACCTCCAGCTCCGAGGACGGCAAGGAAATGGTGTGCTACATGTACCGGTGGGCGGACCGCGGCATCGCCATCGCGCACCACATCGAGGACCCGTGGGGCTGGGAAAAATACCAAGCCTTCGACCTGAGCGTGCAGAGCATCATCTCGTCCTCATTCCTGACGCGCGCCTACCGGCTGTCCTCCAACAGCACGACCTCTGACGACCCTGGGTTCCCGCTGCTGAACACACGGACACTCGCCTTCGGGCCCGACTCTGAATTCGTGACCGATCCGGGGAACCCTGGGATGTTCTCGCTCCCCGTGTGCGTCTCGCCCTACAACTGGAACGGACACACGAAGGGCTACTCGTTCCTGGACGACATGGACGTGAACAGCGCAAAGAAGTCGTTACCGTGCTACTGCGGGCCGATGGGTGCCGATACCCGCGCGGTCTGGTCCGCTATGCGACTCGACATCTCCGAGAAGCGCGGTGAATACCTCAAGCACCTTTGCCCGCGCCAGATCGCCGCGAAGATGAAGAATCCCCTCGAGCGGTATGTTGCGAAGTGCAGACTGGGCATCAAGAAGGTTGGCGCGCTGCATTACGAGAAGAGGGATCACCTCTGCGACGTCGTCATTGCGGAGCTCGAGGCACATGATATCAGAAGTATCGACCAGATCTCCGACCAGCAGACGCTCGTCGTCATGTGCAAGGTTAGGCAGGCTTGGCATAATAGGTGGAACGTCAAGTGGCGCAAGAAGTGTAGGAAGTACAGGAACACCCCCATCAGTGCCATGTGGGAGGAGGCGGCGGCGATGAACACGACTATTGCGGAGGACGCATTGGATGGTTTTGAGGAGGAGAGGCTCGAGGAGGCTAAGGGGATGGAGGGGGGACAAATGGAGGGGGAGCAGATTGATGAGGAGGAGATTGAGGGGGAGGCAAAAGCGGCCAAGGAGACATAAATTGTTGCTTTCTTTTGTTTTCTTTTGTTTTTGATATCGGTTTGGTGTGTATTTAAAAGTGGCAATAAATTTTTGGTTCATGGACTCTTGCGTACCTAGGAGACTACACGCCCGCGCTGTGTGGCCTCTTTCCTTGACCCGAAAGCAACAGCTCGAGTTCCTCGTTCACGACACATTAATCATGGTAGGTTACGAGCAAGATAATTTATAGCATTAAAGTTGTTCCATTCATCCCGCCACGTCCAGCCCAGTCCGCCAACTCATATCCACATTACGTCCTTCCATCCATCCGCACCATCTATTCAACCATCTATGGCAGCGTGCAAGCCGCACCGAAACCCGCCTGACTGCTCATCCGCACATCGTCAGTACCAATTCCATCCTCGGGGTACATAGGAGATTACTCACCATCCGCCCACAGTGGAGCAATACGCGGCGGTAGTACCGCAGAACCCATACTTGCTGCAGCAGCCGCCCCACGTACTGCCCGTGCACGTGTATCCAGTCGTCCCGCCGCAGCTGCCATCAACGGATGGCGGGTTCGACAAGCACACCGTCGCGTTCGCCGAGTAAGTCGCTTGGCAGCCGGCGCCGCAGTAGGAGACTCCTTCACCACTGGTGGGGGGTTAGCATGCTATGCTGGTGGAAGGGGGGGGGAGACGGGGGGGAGGAGGGGGAGGGAAAAGTACCAGAAGCCGCTGCTGGAGCAGCACGATCCAAACTCTGCCGCCGTGCAGGCGAAGGCGTTGGTGCCGCCGCAGCTGCCGTCGGGGCTCTCGCTCTGAGAGAGGACGGTGCTGACGAGGGCGCCGAGGAGGGCGGTCAGGAAGAGGGGGGCGGAGAAGTGCATCGTGGAGAAGGGTGCGAAGAGTGAGGAGGTGGAGTTGAGGAGGTGGTGGATGGAAGGAGGTGAGCGTGGGTGAGGATTCACTATCTGAGAGGGGGGATTGCGCACCTATTTATCCTCCCTCTCTCCATCCTCACTCCACGCTCGCTCGCACACAGGCTGTCCAACGTCCGACCGACCGTCTGCTCGGCTCAGTACCTGCCTGCGAACTCCGATAGATGTTCCAAAGTTCTTCATGGCAAGGTTGGCGATACTACCGTAGGTAGGTACTCCATAATCTAAGTAGGTAGTGGCATTCCCTGTCCGTCCGCAGAAACACCGGCGGAATATTGCTAATAGTGTGCGATTGACTGCCTGATATGGCGAGTGAGGCCATCCAGAAGGTCCTTAGGTAGGTACGTATCCACCCTATGCACGGGAATCCCGCTCACACACATACACACATGCCTATATATTGGGGCCGACTTAAAGCGGCGAATCCATAGGACCACAGCAGGTCGTCCGACATGATCGGATTTTTTTTCGTCGGGCTAGACCCGCAGGCTGTAGATCACCCGTTGGATGGTTGGTTGGCTACATACTTTGGCCCATCGATGTGTAGAGTGGAGTAGAGTACACATCGTGCGGCCCCGCGCAGATGCTTGTATCCTCCCCACATACATATGATGGGCACACGCATCGAATGCAGGGCACTACCCACGATCACTCCCGTCTCCGGCAGGTCTGAATCGCATCCTATCCCGCCGAGGCTCTCTCGCTCGAGGTGCGTGGATGGTGGGCGGCTTCTCGGATGAAATATTCCGCCCGCTGCGGATAGTGGATTGGGTCACCCGGGTTGGTAGATAGTAGAGTAGCTGCATCGCTGGAATCAATGAACGAGCGAGAACGAAATGCCTGGAATCTGGATATGAATTGAATTGAGTCTGAACCCGAAGCCGAGTGGCAGCTGGCCCCAATACCTATGCTATTGTTAGCATGTAGCCGCAGTGTCTCCTTCCTCCTTCCACCTTTCTCGTTACTATATAGCATCGTAGAGTAAAGTACTGTAGTGTCACCGGGAATCCACCCATGCGCGATCGGGAAATGGATTGAGCTGAGTATATCACAGTCGGACTGTCCTGCTAGTGTCCGGGACCTCGTGGTACAATGATGTGTACATACCAGCCTTTTCTCCACCCGCATATCCAGGACTCCAGAGTTCAGCCACGAACCATTCGGGCAGCCAATGCCGAAATCCAAACTCCCCTGAACTTCCACTCTACCCACTCTATCCACCCCGGCAGTTACGATCTATGTAGAATCCATTCGTGAACTTCCCCAAGTAGCATTTATGTAGAGTACTCTGTCAGCTAGTTCGGATTTTTCTTTTCTACCGGCGGAAGCAGGGGTGCTCAGGTACGTAGAGTACTCTATCGATAGTGTCACCACAGTCCGGTTAACTAAAGGCGCAGGTACACACAACACAATGCACAACACACAACATACAACATACCGGCACTCTACTTGTGTACTCACGCAGCTGAGCTGAGGGCCGTCGGTCTGGCTGTCTGTCTGTCTGTATGCAGGGTTCTTGCCTTCCTTCCTTCCTTCCTGCGCTCGACGGGAAGACCGATGGGCGGTGTGGGTCGCTGTATGTACTGCCAGATGGTTGCGTGGGCATTGCATCGGACAGGCTGGGTGGCGCTGGTAGGGTGATTGTCTGAATATATACCCACGCAACGATCTGGTAGTAGTGCTGGTATTGCAAAGACGGAAACAATACATATGAATATAACCTATCAAAGCAGACTCTCGTATCCGCAAAGAGAGATGTAGATAGAGTGTGCCAAAGTACATCTTCAATCACGCTACTTCAGAAAATAAACCGAGTGATAAATCATGGATGGCTGCATCATGGGTGGCTGACTCGGGAACCGTCTAACTGTGCGCACTTGCTTGAAAGATACGGCGCTGGTACTTGTACTTCCGGCCAGCAGAAAGTCAAAACAGCCTAGCAGATGGTATGTTAAAAGCATCATATTCTTGCTCACCACCTGAAGCAAGTACCTACATAGGCACATACTCGTACAATTGCACACGCAGACTACAGTAGGTAGGTAGGTATTGTGCCTTTATGTGAAAGGGGAAGACCGGATGAGATGGGACGGGACGGTACTGGCACCCTCGGCGAAGCGTCGAGAAGCGTGGAGATGTATCTACCGTCCCGAGTGAGAGTTGACCCAGTACTATACCTACTCGAACGGGCCTGCAAGCTGGGTTTGCGGGTGTGCTACCCAGCAAACCTGAAGGCTTCTTCTTCGGCGACGTGGTGTGAGCACTGAGCAGACGGGAAGCTCCCTAGTGCTGTGCTGTGTCAGATGTAGCGAGTACGAGAACGAGAACGAGAACGGTCGTTCGCTAGCTCCCTACTAGTAGCTCCCTAGCTTCACGAGTGTGCACTCGCGCTTACATCCTGTTCCGCATCGGACTATCACTTTTTTCTAAACAGCCGAAGGTGTCGGGATCGGGATCGGGATCGATCCAAGTCGTCTTGATAGTCGCGGCTTGGAAATTCGGAATCACCGACTGCCACCCTCGTTCGAACAATACCATAGGCGGGCCGGTTCCTGTTCCTGTTAGACATCTTCAGCTCTGTGACGCAAGACCGCCAGTTGCACTCCGGGCCTGCCAGGCTGCCACTGGAGTACTCCGGTCTAAGCCGGAGTATATTGCGAGAGATTTCGTCGGCAGCAATCCAACCCCCAAATCCCCGCCGTAAATCCACCAGCTTTGTATATGCTCTAGCAGACATCTTCATACTTCATGCTTCATACTTCATGATTCATGCTCCATGCTTCATACTTCAGCTCCATGCCTCTAGATTGTGCGGTACTAGTACAAGGGTGCGGTAACGTTCGAACTTCGCACTTAGCACGAGAAGACACCTACCTAACCGTAGGGTTTGGACTTCGGTTTGGACTTCGACTTCGGCCCAGCAAGACATGCAGCGTCACTCACGCAAATTTACAAGTCACCAGTCTTGACTCTTGCCGAGTTGAGTAGGTACCAGAACCGGACCACAACTCTTGCGCCGGCGAGAAATACGAGAGAGACGACGAGTAGAAGAACTGTAGTCACGGCTCAAGTAACCATCTTAGCTCCCAGATCCTGCCTCACGTGTCTCAAGGCTTCGGTTGAAACCCACTGGATGTGAGCCCCGCCCTCCAACATAGTTACAGTAGGAAACAGCCAGTTCACATTGCTACGGTTATGGTACGGCTATTTGATGTCTGCCGTACCGCTACTGGGATGAAAGAGACCACGGTTATTATCTGAAAATTTTGATCTTCTGAATGCATAATCCAAAATCTCCCATAGTGATGCCATACTTACTATATTACGTCCCAGGTTGTTAATACTGAATATAATTCAATTGCGGTAGCTATGTGGCATTCTTGGTGATGACGGGTTTTTTCTCTAGTTTACCGCATTCTGTTACGTCGGCCAATCACACTGAATTTCCACTACACCTCCGTCCCCGTTTAGGCACGCTAAAGTCCAGCCAGCTGCTTCTCCAGTGATTTTGAGGACCCTTACTGGCACTGGTACGGCACTGGTACGGCAAGTTAACTGCAATCCGGTTGTTTTGCGGCTACGAAAAGCAAATAAAGTGGCCCCGCTATGGGAATGGTACTGTTGTTGTTTAACTTCCCCTTCTTTAGAAAACCGCTGAGATCTGGTAGCGGTGCCGGAGTTTTTGGACAACGTCATCCTTCGACTGCGGTTGTCGCCAAAAACTGGTTGCCTGCTGAGTGCAGCTGCATCAACACTACCAGAGTAGTGCGGTAGTTCTCTGGCATTTAAAAGAATACGCAGTGAGGTAAGAGCGGTAGCCGTATGGTCTTACTACAGGGTAATTGAGATCTGAAAAATCATTTCACTACGCACCAAAACTACAGTTCGGTTGTCTTTTAGCAACGTAATCCTGAGACAGCCGTCATAGCGCGGCATTCTAAACTACAATGCGCAATAAGTCGAAGGGCGGTAGGAGGACCGCAGCGCTAGCGTTCCGGATACACCTGGTTTTTTGGTACTGTAGGTGGCAATGACTTAGGTACTCTCGTTCCATTCACCACTCCGTTCCATTCACCGTTCACCGTTTCCTCATTTCTCATCGCACCAACACCCCAGCAACAAGCAACAAGCAACCAGAGACAAGCAACAAGAAACCAGAAACCAGAACAACCACATCGCCCCCTTATGTCATTGAAGAGAAGAGAAGAGAAAAGGAAAGACAAGACCAGTAGGTACATACACGCATAGAAAAAGCAAGTAAAAAAACATACCTCGTACCCTAGGTATCCGTGCGTACCGCCATGCATCCAAAAGAACAGAGAGAGAACAAAGGAACGACAAAAGAAACCACACCGCCGAAAATGCCCAGGGTATCAAATCAACTTCACAGCGCACCCCCTTTCCCTCCCTTACAGCTTCCACAGCGGCTTATCAACACTACCCTTCCGGATCCTCTCATTCTCGCGCATATACCACCACCGCAGGCCGAGCACGCACATCGAGCCCAGGAGCAGCATGCCAACGTTGACCCAGTGACCCGTGGGATACCCGCGCTCCTGTTCTTCGCTGCGGTATATCCACACGCCGACGATTTGGCCTGGCGCGCCAAAGCTCACGTTGAGGGCGATTGCGAGACCGGCGGCAGACGTCGAATGCAGGTTACCGGTGATCCAGCCAAGGAGTGGCGCGATGCAGGCGAAGGAGCCCGAGCATGCGACGATCAGCATTATGTAGCGCGCGAGGTAGCTGCCCGGTGGGAGGATCGCGGATACGAGGAAGCCGACGGCGGCGAAGAGCATCGATGCCGCTGCATGCGTTGCGCGCGCGTTGAAGCGGTCGGAGGAGAAGGCGACGAGGACGGTGACGACGTAGGAGACGGCCCACGGTGGAATCGTCATGAGCTGCGCCTGGAGCGAGGAGTAGCCGAGACCGTCGACGATCGAGGGCGCGAAGAGAGACAGCGAGGAGAAAGGCACGGAGGAGGCGAAGTAGATCTTGTGGCCGGTTAGCAAGTGGAGTACACGAAGCGGTGGACGGGGGGATACACACCAGGTAGTGAATGTACAACCGCCAATCTCGAAGGACTGCTTTCGATTCCTTCCAGGTCATGGAAGCGGAGCTTCCCTTGGATCCATTAAAGGCCAGACGCTGGTCTGCCAAACGTGCCTCCTCCGAAGAGAGCCAACTTGAAGTCTCCGGATAATCCGGGAGATAGTAGTAGACGGCGATGGCGGAGAGACAAGACGGAATACCCTCTAGACCGATGTCAGTACCATAGCACCCGAGTGATGGAGCGAGACATCGTACCCAGGATGAAAAGCCAGCGCCACGCCTCGAGTCCTCCCACTTTATTCATAAACGAAATCCCTTGTACCACGGTCAGCAATGACGTCCGCACCCAAAGCGTCGATCTCCATGGGCTCACCGTAAGCAATAGCACCTCCGAAGGCGCCCGCCAACGTCGAACTCGCCATGATGAGCGCCACGCGCAAACTCCTCTCGTCGGAGCGGTACCAGAAGGTGAGGTAGTACACCAGCCCGGGAAACAAGCCGGCCTCGAAGACGCCCAGCAAGAACCGCGTAGCCACGAGCCCGGGATAATTCCTGACACCTCCGGTGCCGATGGTAACGGCCCCCCAGCTCATCATCAAGAATGCAATCCATTTCTGCACTCATCAGTTCCTGGTCTTTTTCTTTTCCGCTCAGCGCGTTGACGGGGTGTGCATACGCTCGGCGACACAGCCTTGAGAAAGTAATTCGACGGGACCTCGAACAGCGCATATGCGATCAGAAACAGCATCAGCGAGATGATGTACTTGTCGTCGGTGATGTTCAACTCCGACTCCAGATCATTGCCGTCGTCGAGGTTCATGATGCGCGCGTTCCCGATGTTCGAGCGGTCGAGGTAGCAGAGGAGGTAGATGAAGGCCGACAGCGGCACGATCCGTAGATCCTGCTTCCACAGCAGACTTCTGTTTTCCGGCGTCACCGAATCGAAGAGGTCGTCGCCGAAAGCGCTCACCGTGAATTTCGACAACTGTGCACACGCAGACGAGCTTCAATCAGCCTCGCGGCCTCGCACCGGCGACGACGCCTCGGATACGGGTCCACTCGTTCGACTCACGTCCACACCGTTCATGCGACCCTCCTCCAAGCTCATGGGGGTTATTGCACCGCTGCCCGCCGTGTCGGACCTCACGATCGGTTCCTCGAGCGAGATTTTGCTATCGCGCCGCTCGTCGCGATCCATCGATTCCGACATGGTTCGGTTGCGTGGGAGCCGCTCTCGGACTGTTGCGGGGTATCAAGGCGCGGCGGCGGCGGCGGCGGAGGCAGGAGAAGAGAGACCGTGGTAACTCCGCATGCACTGTTTTCTTGTGTATTCCCAGCGAGTGCGTGTGCGGGTGTCGGTGAGGTGTGATGACCGGACACTCGCAAGCGAAGCTTGTGGGTTGGATGATATCTGCTCGAGTAGGTAGATAGGGCTCCACTCTAGTACTGGTAGTCTAGTCAGGCTCAGTGCTCACGGTTCTTTCCCTTGCGAGAGTTCAGGGTAGTTTGTTGGAATTAATACGAATACGGTGGGGATCGTCGGAGATGGAGGGAGGGGGGGTGGTTGGGTTGGGGGCTTTGAGTTGTGGATGCGGTGCGGCGGCGGGGAGGGGGGGCAGGATATGGCAGAAGCGCGGGTGCAAGGCAGACAACTTTTCGGCACGGGATGTTGACTCCGTTCATCTGTTTGCAAGGCCCGCATGAAGAGATGCGCGTACACACCTTGATAGGTAGCCGGATATGTAGGCAGAGAGGAGTACTAACTCACAGGCTGCTGATTAGATTACCGCAGTGCAGACGGCGACGGCGAAGCGAGAGGGGTCGGCAGGGTGGTGATGGATCGATTGATGTCGGTGTAGAAGCGCAGTCGAAGGAAGAGTAATCGAAAGAACCATCCGAGGGGAAAAAGAACTATTGTCTCTACAAACGGAAGAGATCACCGATGGGGTGTTGTTGTTGCGGTGATTGACAGCCAGAAAATACTAATGGCATTGGAAATGCGAGGGCGAATAGACTGCGAACCCAAACAGGTGGTGCCAGGTGGGAGGGATGGGTGGTGGGAGTGGTTGTGGTGGTGGTTGTGGCCTTTCTTTCTTCGCATTCTTTCTTTACCGGAAGGCCCGAATCCGAAGCGCAGCTATGCTGGGCAAGCTGTGCTCCAAGAAGGCTTGGGAGATGGCCACTTTGGTGTGTCGGCGAGGGCTGAAGTAGAATGGAGTACATGATACCGGTGATCGTGAGGGATCAAGTGGATCGTAAGGGAGGAGAAGCTGGTCTGAGTAGAGTGGGAGTAGTGGGACGGGCGGATGATGGAGGAGGAGGAGGGGGAGGAGCAGGAGGAGGAGGATGAGCGGATAGATATGGAGCACAAGTCTGGGGAATGGGGAAACCTGGATGGAAGTTCTGGAATTAAAAGCGAGCATGGTTCATCTCGTTTATGGAGTTCTACAGACGCCGCTAAAACATCACCAGGTGTCGGCTCGTCGGCGGTGTACGATCTGTGGGTCTCTGAAGCGCGAGCATCACCAAAGTAGCCTGGGGTAAGCATGAATCATATGTATGTAGGTAGGACGTATGTAGGTGCCACCAGTGTCTTTAGCACTTCCCCCTACAGCACAGCTCCATTCAACGTCAACCCCCCCCCCACCTCCACCACCACCACCGCCACAACCACCACCTCCCACGACCACCACCCAACATCTCTCTAATCTCTCCCGGTTCCCCAGCCCCTCCACCTCCGCACCCATCACGATGGACCCATCTGCGGCCAGCAGCGCCTTCGTCCCGACACCGGAGCAAGCCAGCTTCCGCTTCACCAGCTACCGGAGCCCAACGGTGGAAGACGAGCCCGAGCCGCCACGCCCGGCGCGCACCCCGAGCCCGCGTCGCCCGCCCAACACCACCGCCACCGACGACGACCTGCTGCGCAAGTGCCGAATCTGCTTCGACACGTCTGCGCCACCGTACGAGCCCTCCCCCGAGCTCGGCCGTCTCTTCTCCCCCTGCGTCTGCCGCGGCAGCTCGCGCTACGTGCACACCGTCTGCCTACAAACCTGGCGCGCGACATCGCGCACCGCCTCCTACACCTGCCCGACATGCAAGTACCCATACCGGCTATCACGGCTGAACTACGCGTCGTGGCTTACAAGCACGTCCACGACCTTCCTCGCGACCAGCGTACTCCTGCTGCTGATCGTGTGGCTACTCGGCTACGTCTCCGGTCCCATACTCGCTACGTACCTAGTCGACGTCCCCGACAACCTGGAGCTCCCCGTCCCCCGCGGCGGCTGGGCGGAACACTTCCTGCGCGGCCTGGCGAGCCTGGGCCTCCTCGGCTTCGCAAAGGTCATGTACATCGTCGGCCCAAGCAGCTGGCTGAATATGCGCGCGAGTGGGAATCTCGGCGGCAGGGAGAGGGTCAGCAGGCTCACGTGGATCGTTATTGCCCTCGGCGTCGCAAACTTCTTCGTCTGGCTATGGAGACGCGTGGGTGGATACGTTAAGGGCCGCATGGAGAGCGTGGCGGGAGACGTGCTCGATGTGGGTGAGGGCGGCGATGGCGATGAGAGAGTCGTCAAGCAGGCGTGGAGCGAGTGGGCTGCTGCCACTGCCGCCCAGGCCTGGGTCACGACAAGGAATCTGGTGGGGAGGGCGCGGGGCGGGAATCCGGAGGTGTAGCAGGAGGAGGATAGAGGAGAGAGCATCACTGACTCACTGGACTGCTGTCACACTCGCAGCAGCATCGTGTAAAGAACGTAAGAACGTAAGAGTGTCAATATAGTAATGGCGTTTTAGGGTTTTAGGTTTCACTTCATTCATGTCCCGCATCATCTACCTACCAAGTATCTATCATAGTAGACAAGCAAAGAACACTGCAAGTAATCATCCGAAGTCCCTAATTCCTCGGAAGACAGACCCAAAGATTACCACCCACAGTGAATCACTCGTCCCGTTGGTAGTCACGCCGCTGCGGCTCCGGCCTCGTCACAACCCTTGTCCCAAAAAGAGACCAGATCATCCGTTTCGCACGACCGGGGAAATGACGTTATGCATTGAGTTCTCAAATTCCTATTCAGCCGGTGGGGCGATGGAAGGGAGAGCATTCTCCCGGCCAAGGCAAGATAAAGCGTCACGTCACAAGCGACATCGCTACTTCCCAAGCAAAATGCCGAATGGAAATAGCTACATATTTATACATGGGGCACACTGCGCAGTGCACAGATATTATGAAGGAGCTTTAGAAGAAAAGAAAATGGTAGAAGAATCTAGTAAGTAGAATACCGAATCCCGCCCAGCCCCTTCGCCCCGCGCTGTCCCGCGCAATTCATAAGACCAGAACAGACCAAGCAGCAAGCAAACCCTTCCCTTCCTTTCCCGCCTCAGCGCGCCAGTTCTAATTTTGTTTATAGTACAGTTACAAAGTTGTTCGATCGAGTGGAGTGGTCTATGGAAAGAAAAGGAAAAAGAAATAGGGAAAGGAAACGCTAGATCAAGTAGGTGGTAGGTGGTGGATGGAAGATGGAGGTAGATGTGGTGGTGGTGGTGGTGGTGGTGGTGGTGGTGGAGGTAGGTAGGTAGGACGGGTATTCGGAAAGAAGGCACTCGTGCGAACGAACAGACGAACGAAACCGCTTATTTGGTGGCCTCCTTGAGGTAGGAGATCAGGTCGTTGCGGTCGTTGGCCTTCTTCAGACCTCCAAAAGCCATCTTAGTACCGGGAATGTACTTCTTGGGGTTCTCGAGGTACTCGAACTATACTACAGTTAGAAACAAGGTTCAAGGCACATCTTCGATAGGGGAAAGGCTTCGTACCAAGGTGTTCTCGTTCCACTCAACACCCTTCTGCTTGTTGGCGTCGGTGTACGAGTAGCCCTCAACCTGGCCGGACTTGCGTCCAAAGAGGCCGTGGAGAGCGGGTCCGGTCTTGCTCGATCCACCGGCGTCGACGGTGTGGCACTGCTCGCAGCGGGTCTTGAAGAGCTTGGCGCCCTTGGTGGTGTTGCCTGGGGGAGACACTGTCAACTATGTGTCCAGCGGGGTTTGCAGTGCGGACCGAACGGCGACTGCGTGGGAGAGCGGCGAGCGAGCAAACGGAATAGACTCAACATCGTGAAGTCTGTGCTGCCGCCGCTGTCCCCCACAGTGATCGCCGCCGTCGACACCGCAGCGGAAAAAGAAAAACGGAAGAATAGCGCCGGCGACGGCAGTGGGGGAATGAAACGTACCCTCAGCGAAACCCATTGTGATAGATGTGGTGTTTGGGGGAGTAGTGATAGTGTGAAGAAGGAAGTTCGTGGGGGTTGAAGGTGGAGGTTGTGGGGAGAGCTTGTATGAGTTGGGAGAGTGTGATGGGTGAGAAGGAGAAGAAGTGTGTCTTTGCCGGGGGAAAGACGTTCAATAAATAAAATCTCTCGTTCGCTCCTCCGGGACGGTGTGGGTGGTGGGTGGGTGAGCCAGTGCCAGCCCAGGCTCGGGAAAGACAAGAAATTTTTGCTTTCGCGGTTTGGCGCGAAATTCGATCGTTAGGGATCGCCCACAACCTTGGTTCCCGTTCCAAATCCCATTTCTCCGCCCCGTGATTGGCCGATGCTGTAAGCGTCATAGATTAATCAGCCTGTCAGCCACACCTGTCCGCTCCGATCTTGACCGACGAGGCGTTTATCCGGCCGGTGAACTCTGGCTTTGCCGTCATCGTCCTTCCGTCCCCGCTAACCTTTCTTCCGTAGAAGGCACAGCCACCAGCACGCTGCTTACTCCACAGCCTAGAATCCACCGCTTCAGGGACTCGGGTTGCAGATTCGATGGGGACCCTTCAGGCTTCGAGATCTGTCTGCGATGGCTCATGTTCGCTTACCACGACAACGGCCATGTGCAAAATTTAGGGCCCATCGTGGCATCGTCGGGCCACGGGCAACGGCATAACGTACAGTTTTTTTGCTTTTTTTTGCTTCTTCACTAATCGCATGCAGCCTATCTAGGCCATGGCGATGTGGAATACCTAACCAAACACACTTCCTGTGCATAATCCTGTCGGCATTCCCGGCGCAACGCACGGGAGAGAGAGAGAGAGAGAACATCAATTATTGTTGCATACGGCCTTTCTGGACTATGACGACCCTCCTACACGGCGCGCAACGGACAGAGAGAGTGAAGATACCTGCCGTTTAGCGTCTACCGAGTGAGGTTCGATGAAATCTCAAATTTTTCAAAACAAAGCTCCTCGACAAAAGCTGATTATGCACCAAACTTTCTGTATGCTCCCCGTAGCTTCGATTAAGCTTCTTTTGGCATCTATAGCTTAACGATCTGACCACGTAGATGCTGGCTGACTGAGTGGGTGTTCTAGAGCAGGCAGAAGGAATTCGATGAACCTACATATCTCCAACAGCCTATATGTCTACCGTATACATTCACGATTTATACTTGCTTACATACTTGTACACTCTATATACTCAGAATACACTGATATAACCACCCAACGCCTCCTCTAGATGCCCATAAGTCACACCATATCCAAAATGTGCACCAATCACAGCTTCGACTTCAGCTCGCGCCTCCAGCCCTGTTCTTCCGCCAGCAGCTCCGCCACCCTTTCTCCAATCGCCAAAACTGTCAACATTGGACTGTGCATATCTAGATTAACTTCATTTCGTATTTGGCGGGGAGCCACAAACTCACTTGATAGTAACCATCGCCGGGAACACTCCCGCATCCGCAATCCTGACACCCCTTACGCCGTTCATTTTCAGATCCGGGGCGACGACAGCCAGCCTGTCATTGCGTATATCCCCCATCTTTGTTGTTCCCGCCGGATGGTACACAGTATGCGCGACCTTGCGCCCATACTCGCTCAGCGCCTCATCGCTCTGCACCTCTAGCCCGGGGGCAATCTCGCGCTTCAGATACGACCTGAACGGTTCCGTTTCGGCGACCTTTCTAGCGGCTCTAAAGCCGTCGACAAGCGTCTTCGCATCGTAGCCCTCCGGATCGGTAAAGTAGCGGAAGTCGAGGGCCGGCTTGACCGCCGGGTCGGCGGAGGTGAGCCACATTCGGCCGATTGACTTTGGCCGCGGGATGTTGGGCGTCATGCAGAATGCGTGCAGCGGCGCCTCGTAGCCCAAGCGAGAGGTGTTGATGCAGAACGGGATCTGGTACGTGTGCATCATGATGTCGGCGATGCCGTCGCCATCGCGGTCGAGAAAGATGCCGGCATCGGAGTCCATCGTGGTTTCGGTCGGCATGGACTCGTTCAGCTCCCAGATTATGATGCTCTCTGGGTGGTCCAGAAGGTTCTCGCCAACTCCGGGGAGATCGTGTTGTACGTTTATGCCGAGCGATCTGAGCTGGTCCGCCGGGCCGATTCCGGAAAGAAGCAGGAGTCGGGGCGTATCGATGGCGCCGGCGCAGAGGATTATTTCATCCTTCGCGGATAACCGCAATTTCTGGCCGGATTTGAGCGTGAGATTGATGCTCTCTGCCCGCTTTTCCGCACCCTGCGAGGACAGGTTGAGACGGGAGACCCACGCTTCCGTGAGGACGATGAGGTTGGGCCGCTTCTCTTCGCCGCTGATGATGGGGTGGATATACGCCACACTCGCAGAGCTCCGCTTTCCATCCTCGGGGTTGTAGGAAACTGAGAAGAAACCGACACCCTCGGAGAACCCGCCTTCTCGGCGAATAGTCTTGTTGAAGTCTTCGATGATCGGTATATCGAGGGCCTTCGAGCATGATCGTACCCAATCCTTTACGAACTTGTTCCGATGCATAGTGTGCACGGGCTGGATTGTGCACCGAAGCTGGTCGATGCAGCGCTGGACGGTGGCAAAGTCCCAGCCTGTTGCTCCCATCTGCTCCCACCCCTTCAGATCCCGCTCGAACGGTCGATAGGATATCAAGGTGTTGTGGGAGCTGCAGCCGCCCAGGATCTTCGCCCGAGAATGGCGGATGTGCGAGTTTCCTGTGACACGGATGAGTTGGAAGCTCACGTCCAATATGCTGGATAAAAACGCTTACCCATCGCTTGCTCGGTGGTGGGGTAGTCGTAGTCATAATTAGTGTCTCCTAGAAGTGCCAGCCAGTCTTTCAACTGCAGCACTTTCTGGTCGTTATAATCGGAAGGGCCCGCCTCGACGAGTAGGACTTGCTTGTGCGGGAGATATGAGGAAAGCCTGGAGGCAACAACACAGCCAGCTGTGCCGCCTCTATTCACAAACAGATACCGGTCAGCAACGGCAGACAAACGAAGCGGCGTGAAGCCATTACCCAACAATAATGAAATCTGGGCGGTAGTCTTGCGGGAGGATGTTGGTCGTCATGTTTTACGGTTGGCTGGGAGAGCAATGGGGGAGCTCGAGCTCAGAGCTGTGCTGATATTTGTACCGATAACTGGAGCCGTCGACTGATACAGAAAGCTATAGCCTGAAGGAATGAAGGCTGTATGGTGACAACTTCAAGACAGGTGATAGAAATGAGCAGAGCTTCGATGTGGCATTATCGTGCCAGGGACGCAGTTGGGAGGAAGTGTATCCATGACTTGCGACGGGATATTTCGAACCCGCCCAGATGCCCGCTGCCGGCATGCACAGGGCTCTCGCGGCAGACAAGGCCGAGGCAAAGCGCACGGCAGGCATACACTGTTTGTATGGCTCCAAGGCAGGCCAAGAGGTGCTGTGGATGGCCGGCAGCATGGTTCTCCGGACACTTTCTCCTTCCGATGTCTCCGCACATCCAAAGGTGCAACTTTCTCCACCTGTGCCGTAGTTGTACATACAGCAGCAATCTCCATCGGGATCAGCCTGCCGAGATGGCTGACCGGTCAATTTACAGCATGCTTGAAGCTCGAGTGAAGCTGTTTTCTCCGTCGCATTTAGATAGCGATTGACGGTCCAAGTCCATAGCGTCATGTTGACATGCAGGTTAGGGACTCGAGCGCCAATTCAGGACTAGGCCCAGCCTTGGCCGATGGATGGCTGTCCGGGGTGAGACGCTATGACGCGCAATGTTTGCTCGTGTGCAGTGTGCACAACATATCTGAGAAGAGATGATATTGCGGATTTCCGCTGATAGCCGCTGCTGCGTGGCTGTCCGAGTCTACGATACATCTCCTCTCCTCCTGTTTTTCTCTCGTAACCCTCCTCGATCCAATTCCAGTTCCCGCTGTGCCTGCAATGTCCGAATTCACCTTCACACATCAGAAACACTACATCAACGGCCGGCCTCACCGGTCAGGTAGCGAGACATTCACCACATACAATCCCTCGACCGGCACGCCCATAGCGCAGGTCTACACCGCCACGCCGGAAGACATCGATCTGGCCATAAGCACCTCTCTCTCAGCCTTCAAGACATGGTCCAAAACACCACCGATCGAGCGCTCCCGCATCCTCCTCCGAGCCGTGGCTCTCCTCCGCAGCCGCAACGACCTCATCGCAAAAGTCGAGACGCTGGACACCGGGAAAGCGTTCTTCGAGACGTCGACCGTGGATGTTGCCACCGGCGCGGACGTTCTGGAGTACATGGCCGGCCTGGGCATGGCTATGGGAGAGGGCAAGACTATCCAGCTCCGTGAGTCGGCGTGGGTTTACACACGGAAAGAGCCACTGGGCGTCTGTGTAGGCATCGGAGCGTGGAACTATCCGATCCAAATGTAGCTCTCCTCCACCTTTCTCCAGCCGCAATCGCAAGTGAAGGGCTAACCGGCAGCAGTGCCCTCTGGAAATGTGCCCCCGCGCTCGCAGCCGGCAACACCTTTATCTTCAAGCCATCGGAAGTGACCCCCCTCAGCGCCTACATCCTCGCGCAGATCCTGACGGAGGCTGGATTACCACCGGGGGTGTTCAACCTCGTGCACGGCCTGGGCAGCGTCGGCGCGGTGCTCTGCGCCGATCCGCGAGTCGCCAAGGTCTCGTTCACCGGCCAGCCGTCCACCGGGATTGCGGTATACACAGCCGCGGCAAAGACGCTCAAGCTGGTGACGCTGGAGCTAGGCGGGAAGTCACCGTTCATCGTGCTCCCTGACGCCGATCTCGATGCCGCGGTAGACGCCTGCGTCACCGCTAATTTCGCCTCCTCGGGTCAGGTCTGCACTAACGGCACCCGCGTCTTCGTTCATGCAGACATATTCGATCGGTTCGAAAGGCTGCTGGTGCACAAGGTGAAGACGGGTGTGCGCGCCGGTGATCCCATGGATAGGGACGTCAACTTTGGTCCCGTCGTGTCGAAGCAGCATTACGAAAAGGTGCTGAACTACATCCGCCACGGCATCAACGAGGATAAGGCAACACTACTGCTCGGCGGCGTCGAGAAGCCATCATCCCTCAGAGCGCCGTTCACGAGCGGCTACTACATCACCCCCACGGTCTTTACCGACTGCAACGACACGATGCGGATCGTCCGCGAGGAGATCTTCGGGCCAGTAGCGTGTCTGCTTCGGTTCTCGAGCGTGGAGGAAGCGATCGCTCGAGCCAACGATACCGAGCTGGGCCTCGCCGCAGGAGTGTTCACCAGGGACCTGAACATGGCGCACAAAGTGATGGCCGAGGTGCACGCGGGAATCTGCTGGATCAACACGTGGGGCGAGAGCCCCGCGCAGATGCCGGTAGGAGGCTGGGGCTACTCCGGCGTCGGATTCGAAAACGGCGCTGAAGCCCTCCGACAGTTCGTCAAGAACAAAAGTGTACTCGTCGAGAACGGCGAAGTCGTGCCGGCTTTCGCCAAGTTGTAGGGAAAGGAGGGGAAGGACGTGTACTAGACAGTGGACTGGCGGGGCGGGTTGCATGAATTCAGCGTCGCACGTTGTGCGCATCTGCCGTTCGAGTTGCCGCCTCTCGACTCTGTGAATCGGAACCAGCGGCGACAGAGGAGCCGCGGATATTTCAGGAAGACGAGGGATTCCGGCAAGAGAGGAAGGAGAAGCTCGGCCAACCGATAGATAACCAGCGCACACGACCAGAGATCTGCTACCTGTAGGAATGCTGTATCCACTCTAGAGTATCCATGCCTGGTATACATACTTCGTTATGTTCCTAGATACCGGTTTGATACTCTATCTGGTCGCATGATAACTAATCCGCCGCTATCCGGGCGCCCTGTCCGCATGGCGATGGTGGTCCGTATGGTCTGCGGCATCCCACACACAAAGTCCCCATAGTTACATACCAGAATACATTCCTTCCCCAACCGTAGTGGTGTCTGACGCTGCCGAGCGCGCATGCCACTGAACCACGGCCAACTGCGAAGCTTGTCCCTCACCTCGCCCCACCTGCCGCAAATAAGCGTAGTGCGCTACGCCGAGCTCGTATCAACCCTCCGCTGCAGCAGCTGCAGCAACCCATGTCTGCAAAAATAACGGTAATCCACAGATGTTTCGTCCTTCGAGATTTCTGTCTTGCCACTAGGTGATTGGCTGATAGCGGTGGATTCCGGCACCACTTCCCACCCGGGCAGGCAGGCCCGTTCGTACTACAAGTGCCGGTCGTCGAGGCTCGTACTCGATTGTGTTCACAGTCAAGGGACCGCGGGTTTCACCGTTTCATTGGCACATGGATCGTCCTGGTCGATATAAATATAATGGCTACTGCTTTTGGTCACGTCTGCTTCCCCCGACTTCTCCCCCGCTTCCCGTCCACTTTCTGTCTCGTGTCTCGTGGGAACAAGACGATCAAGCGAACACACGACCAAACGGCCATCTGAGGGATCCACACATACTATCGGACAAACATTCGGCGCGGCAAATCATCTGTAGCATCAACAATGTCCGGCCTAGCAGCAGAGGAGGCGGCCATGGTGGACGACGGGGAGCCTACCATTCACAGAGGCAGCGGGATCAAGATCGGCCCTGTCACTCTTCCGCCATGGCGTTCTCCAATCGCTCAGGGTTCGCCGATCCTCCTACGACGCCTCATGAGTGAATTGAATAGTGGCTTACATTGTCCTCTCTCACAGTTATACTAACGGGTTTCGTCTGTTTCCTCTGCCCTGGTATTCCCCGTCAACTCTTCCCTAGCACCTCCCGCCGCAGGCTGACAGTAATGTATAGGAATGTTCAATGCGCTGAACGGGTATCCCCAACTCTCCGTGTTACTCGTCACTCGCAGCAACTAACCCTTTATCAGCATCGGCGGCGGCGGCCAACTCGATTCGACGATCAACTCGCACGCCAACACGGCTTTATACACGACATTTGCGGTGTTCGGGTTCACAGCGGGAACATTCCTGAACTATTTCGGCGCCAAGCTGACGTTGGCACTCGGCGGCTTCGGGTACTGCGTGTATTCGGCGTCGTATCTGTGCTACAACCACACGAAGAACGATGGCTTCGTCATCTTTGCAGGCGCGCTGTTGGGTGTCTGTGCGGGCTTTCTGTGGACCGCCCAGGGAACCGTCATGATGTCGTATCCGACGGAGAATGAGAAGGGAAGGTATATTGGACTGTTCTGGGGGATTTTTAACCTCGGCGCGGTTATCGGGTCTATCAGTGTGTACCCCCTTGTATGTACCTTAATGCGAGTAGGATACTGACGACTGCTTCAAGTTCCCCTCGCCAATAATTGGAACACGACGGATAATAAGGCCGTCAACGATGGCACTTACATAGGCTTCTTAGTCCTCATGGCCTGCGGCGCTATCCTCTCATGGTTCCTCGTTCCTCCACAGCATATCATCCGTAAAGATGGCACGCGAGTACAGCGGGTTCAGCATCCCTCAATCAAGTCTGAGATGAAAGGACTATGGGAGACGTTGTATACCGACCCATACATCCTACTGCTCTTTCCCTTCTTCTGGGCCAGTAACTGGTTCTTATCTCTTTTCCTCCAGTCCATACAGCCCAAGCTGACGAAACAGGTTCTATACGTACCAACAAAGCTGCTACAACCTCTACATGTTCAACACGCGCTCGCGCGCCTTCACGGGGCTCTGGTACTGGCTCGCGCAGATCATCGGCTCGCTCCTCTTCGGCTGGTTCCTGGACAACCAGTCGCTGACGCGGCGCCACCGGGCAATCGCGGGGTGGACGCTCCTCTTCGTCCTAGTCCTCTCGATCTGGGGCGGCGGCCTCAAAGCCGAGCTGGGCATCTCCCGTCCGCCGAGCCCGGACCTGGCCGCAACCTGGTTCCGCGGAATGGATATCTACGACAGTGACTTCACGTGGTACTGTCTGCTCTACGTGTTTTATGGAGTCCTCGATGCCACCTGGCAGACGTATGCCTACTGGCTCATGGGCGCGCTCTCGAACGATCCGAGGAAGCTGGCGTATTTCGCTGGTTTTTACAAGGTACCCTTCCCCCCCCATCATCACCACCCCCTCCTCTGTCGCCAGTAGGGCTAATGAAAATAAGGGAATCCAATCCGCAGGCGCAGCGGTGGTCTGGGGCCTCGATGGCTCGCACGTGCCCTACAGAGTCCTCTTTGGCACGTCGTGGGGATTGTGCATCGCCGGAATGCTGTTCGCTGTCCCCGTCATATGGATACGTGTTCATGATACGGAGATTACGGAGACGGACTTTTTCGACGGCGGGAAGGTGGAGCAGCCGGCGGATGAGGCGGCGGCGCAGGGGGAAAAGGCGCAGGGGGAAAAGACGGCGGTGGCTACGGAGCCTACTGATGGTGCGGGAAGAAGGGATGTGGTATGATGACTTGATGACGCACTTTTGATCATGAGGGGATTTGAGATGTAAATGAGCTGGACAAGATATGTATGCTATGCTTAATGAGTTACTGTGATGATGTTTCGCGTATCTTTCACGCTTGGTCCAGGGGCGTTGGAATGTTCTTGCGAGTGAGTGTGTGTGAGAGTGTGATACGTTCACTGGTGGCTGTGAGTTGAAGTATTGTCACTTCGTAATCACGTAGCTGGTCAACAGCACAATTGTGTGCTGGTATGGGGACCCTCACTCGTAAAACCATCCCCCAGTCAAGCTCCCCCAGGCCCCACCCTTCTCCTCCTCCTCCTCTTCCTCCTCCCGCAACAACGTGATTATCGATTTCCTACCACTTCCCCGACTTTTTCGTGCAACTTCTCGACACTCGAGTGTTTCGTAATAGTTAGCGGTTACCGGCGCTGTAGTTCGTGCTGCTGCTGCTGCACTGACAATCATGCAAGGACTGGCCTAAGGGGGAGCTGGTGAACATTTACTTATGTACCGTATTCCTCCGAGGGATGGTATTTGCTCGGTGGAATGTACTTTTATGAATGGCGAGAAGTGATTCCACGCCGCTACGGTTTGGAGTTGGGTTTCTACGCAGCACAGCAAATCATAGGTATCTTATCACCCGACGTTTCATGCGTGCCGGCGCACGGAAAACACGTTACTTCCTTGCTACCTAACCCCACGGAGCTGGCAGGAAAGGTCGGATTCGAGGTTGCCATAATCTAGATATCTAGGACAATAAAATGTTCTCTCTCTTGGAAACCACGTCAGTCCGATGAGCCCACCACCACCACCTTACCTTCAACACACCAAGCTGAAACCGTGATTCGTGAATCTCCACTGTAGAGTAAGTCTGTAGAGTAAGTAGTCTGTACCAGCACTTCCCGCCCCTCGAGCACTCGAGCTCTTACTCCAGCCTCCTATGTATGTAAGATGTATGTAGAGTATGTACACATGCGGTGATATCACGCGTCAGAGGTAAGTGCGGGCGCCAATCTTGACTTGTAGTTATTACTAGTAGTTAACCGAGATCGACGAGCGATGCCAATGTATGTAGTCACCGGGGAAAATATACTGTGCGTTTCGGGGAGAGGGGAGAGGGGGCGTCTCATGATTTTTCCGCGACACAATACGTTCACCGGAAGGATGGGCGGAGGTGCTCTACCTATTATGATGGTAGTCAGCGCCCCGCGCTTGTTGGCCTGTGGCCTGAGATCGGCCCAGGTCGTCCCACATTCGGTGCGTATATAGAGTATGGAGGGTGGTTAGAGTAGTTGGAGTATGCTAGCCCTACGGACGCGCTCACAGTGGACTTCTCTTCTCGCCGCTGGCCGGAGAATTTAGAAATACTCTACATAGGTACTGCGAATATGATATGATATGATATATTCGTGCCGTGGAAATTGGCTGGAGTGATACTAGTAGTGAGGGATGGTTATTAGTTGAAGGTTCGGGTGTAAATTGAAGTGTAATCCGAGTCGTCCTGGACCTGGACCGTCCGTGGAATAATCTGGACTTGGGACTCTGAACGGAAGGCGAAAAATCGTGTCCATGCCTCACGACCAGATCACGATAAATTTCTGAAGCCCAAGTCTTTCGAAAGGAAGTGCACTTATGTGTCCGTCTAATGATCACGACCACAGCCGCAGCAGCGGTTAGCTAAATCAAAACCTGCGACGACGAGTGCACATTTTTCTATCTTCTGAGCCATCGCAACTACCGCTGCCGCCAGTTGAGCACCAGCTCGATCAAGAGGGATCCAGATTCCAGCCTCCAGATTCCAGCCTCGCAGACCCAAGCCACCCCCAATAAGCGACTATTGGAATTTGGCCCTTGGAGCTCCACACTCCACATCGCAGCATCAATCTATCCAAGCGTTTAAAATGAAGCTAGGTGATCATTCGTTAGCACGATGGGAGACTAGTCTTCCCGCACCTGAATTCAAGGACGTGGCTTCGACGCCTCGTCTCTCCCCGTGAAGGAAGGTCCCCCACCGTACGCTGCTCGGATGATCAATTCTGCCGTGGTCCGCCGGCCATGATGGTGATGGAAGGCAACACTGAGCAGAGAAGACTTCAAAATCTCCTTCGACGGAGCGCCGGGCAATGGCAGGAATACTCTAGAGGTCTACCTCTCAATCTTATCGATTCTCTATATAAAATGTCAGATGCACCTATCGAAGGCCATCTCCATGTGCAGCTCAGACATACATGATCCGATCGCACAGGACAGCACTAGCACAACCAGCACAATCAGCAGCGACTCGAGCAGGCTGCAGCAAAAGATATTCTGACGAGCGGACGGAGTCCGACACAAGGGCTACTAAAGATAGTACCTACCGTCGTAAGCACCGCAACCGCGTATGTAGAGTAGGTACCTATGCAGAAAATGCACCTGCCATGGCCGGCCGGAATCGCAGCTCTGCACTTTGCATATAAGCAGTGCGGAGGAAGGAGGGACAAGGGACCAGGACCAGGACCCACGATTGTCACCCCACCACGCGCGTTTGCGGGTATATACAGTTTCCAGTACATGTAGTCGCCACTTCCGGCCACGACGGCTGCTCGCTGTTCAATTCAATTCAACAATCCACTCCCAAATCACCAGCACGACCACGACCACCAGCATTAGCCACGGCTTTCGTCCCATCATTACGACACTCATAATACCACGACGATGCTATCCACCCCCACCACCTCACGAGCAATGCGCTGGCCCTCAGCGCCGCAAAAATCCCGCTACATCCTCCCGGGCCTGCTGATTCTTGAATTCGGCTGCCTGACCGCGCTGTTCGGCCTCTTCGGCTACGCAAACCCCAATACCTACCGCAGCGCCCTGCTGGACGACGGCGTGGCCAGCGGCTTCGTCGCGAAATCTACGTACACCCCCGGGAGCACGGATGTGCCGCTTGTGTGGCGGCCTGTGTATGTCCCTGCACCCCCCACCCCCCCCCCCCCCCCCCCCCCGCGCTCAATGCTCGCGCACGGTGCTAACAGAAACCCCCCCCGCAGCGCAACAACAGTGAGCCTGTACCTCACGCTCGCCTCCTTCCTGTGCATGGTCCTGCAAGCGACGCTGTACATCCTGTCCCTCTGCCCACCGCAAGCACTCGCACTGGTGCAGGTGATCATGCTGTCGATCTGGATCGCGATCATAGCGATCTACCAAGCCGGCGTGAACTCGGAGACGCCATGGTTCCTGACACATAGCTGCGCGGACGTGTACTACCCGCGCAACCGCTCGCCGTGCTTGCAGGCGAAGGGGCTGTTTGGGATTTCGATCGTCCTGGTGGCGATTTATGTTGCGGTGGGCGTTTGGTGTGTTGTTGTTACGGTAATGGGGGTTAGGTTGAGGTTGAAGAGTGAGGGGAGGGAAAGTGAGGCCGGGAAGGATGTGGAGTTGGTGCAAGGGAGGAGTGCGGAGGAGCCGGTAGTGGACTATGCATACCAGCAGCCGCAGACGCCGGGGAGAGTGCCGGTGACGCCGTATTGAAGTCGACGGGTTTTTTTTACGGAGTATATGGAGTATGTTTTCACGAGGTGGCCCAGATGACACCGTGTGTGACTCAGCCGATTGTTTACTCGGAAGTGAGACCGCGACGAGATAGGAGGAGAGGGGGGGAGGGGAGGGAGGGGCAAGACTGGTCACTGCCGGAGCACGGCCTCTGCCCATACGGGACCATTCGCCTTATGTAGACCTACGGTTACTCTGCGTCCCCGCGACCTAGAAAATGGACCGCAATATGACACTGCGATGTTTCCCATTTTCCGTTTCCCCGTTTCCCCGTTTCCCCGACTCCCAAGATGATAGGAGCTTGATATCTTGTGATACTTCGAGCTATTGTTTACGGGATATTCCGGGACAATGCCGTCGGCCGTCACGGCACCTCCTGATTGGTCGGAGTCCATAGTCATACATTACCGCCTCATCAATAATCACCAGCCGCAGAGCCCACAAAAAAACAAAGTTGCAGCTCGATCATACATACTCACGCATCCAAAAGTCTGCATGATGAATAAATCTCATTACGTGCCTCCGTAAAGCCATCACACATAACCAATCCCATCATAAACCCCATCCCTAAATGACTAACTCCCAAAAAAAACGCCATTTTACGACAATAGGTATGATGTGCCAACTGTCAAACCAAACTACACCCTTCTTTCAGGACTACTCTCCTTCGTCTCTGCGAACGTGCTCTCGTGATACTCTACGGGCGGGTGATTGGCGCCCGACAACCGTGGCGCCTCAACGTTCTGCCACAGCACGTAGCGCTTGAAGAAGTACGGAATCTGCCTTGCGCCGTACCGGGCGTGCACCCGCGTCGGCACGCTAAAGACTTGGTCCAGCTCTTCAAGGGTTTTTCCTATGGACTGGTTAGTACGTGAAAGAAACAAAGGGGGACAAGGAGGAGCATACCTTTGGTTTCCGGCAGGAGGAAGAGGACGCCAAAGAAGCCGACTATGTTCCAACCCGCGTACCAGGCGAAGGCGCCTTGCGTTGTAAAGGCCTTTTCGAGCGCGAACCAGGTGACGGCGAGGATGAAGTTGAAGCCCCACGTCGTTGCTGTAGCAAGCGACATGCCGATATCACGGATGTAGAGCGGGTACGCTTCGGCCGAGTAGGTGAACGGCACTGGACCTTCGCCGGGAGAGTACACCATCGCGAAGAGGTATATGCCCAGCGCGACGCAGGCCACTCGGGCAGTCGATTCGCCTGGTATCCAGAAACAGAAGCCGGTGAAGAGCAGGGCGAGTGACATTAGTGGGAACGTGGTTAGCAGCAGGTTTCGCCGTCCGAATCGGTCGATCGTGAATACTGCCGGTAGCGCAAAGAGCCAGTTGATGATTCCGAAGCCCATGGAGGCAAGAAGTGCTTGGGCGTGGCTAAAGCCGGCGTCGGCGAAAATACTGGACGAGTAATATGCGATGACGTTGACTGCGGGAGGGGATTAGCACGGAAGATGACTCGGTGGGGATGTCTAGAGTAATACTCACTGCCGCAGAACTGTTGCATGAACATGACGAGCTGAGATGCTTGCATAGCGCGACGGTTTCGGCCGACGGTGAACATCTCCTTGAGTTTAGCGATGCCCTTGGCCATCTCTCCCTCAGCTTCGAGAAGGACTTTCATGTAGAAGAGGTCACGGGCAGCCTGGACTTTGGACCATCGAAGGCGAGCAAGTGAGTCGAATGCACGCCTTGGCCTGCCCTTCATCAACTCGTAGCGTGGAGATTCGGGCTGTTGTAGCATTAGTATGGTCATCTTCCGGAAATCGGAATGGGAATGGGAATACTCACACAGAAGTAGACCTGGGCGCACACAAAGATAGCCGGTATCGCTGCGGACGCGAGCATCATTCGCCAGTTGAGATCGGGCACGGCCTCGGTCTTCACATTCATGAAGGCAACGTCGCAGACGTATCCCAACATGATTCCGAACGCCGTCCACATTTGCCACATCATCACCAAAGCTCCACGGATCTGGTCACACCATATCAGCCTTCCTATGTTCGCCCCGAAAAGATATAGGGGGTAGCATACCGCTGGTGGAGAACATTCCGCAGCGTAGACAGGGACAGTACTCGATTTCGGGCCGATGCCGAAGCCAAGAAAAAAGCGGGCAATGAACAGATGCCACCAAGTATTGGTGAAGGCTTGCCAGAAGCAAGTTGCGAAGGAGATCAAGCAAGTGATGAATATTGTGTTGCGACGTCCGAAAGCTTGGTTGAGAGGATGTGTGAGCCTAAAGATCGTCAGCACGCTGCATTCAGAGACCTCCGACCCGTCCAAAACCTACCAACAACCAATGGTGAAACAGCAGAGATAAGGAGCCGAGTTGACAAGGCCCTTGATCCATTCACGATCCTGGATTCCAAACTGGTCGAAGAAGTATAAATTTGCTGACATGGTGTCAGTCATTTGCTCCCTAGCTCCATAACTCACGGGATAAACATTACCTCCGTTGATAACCGACTCGTCCATGCCCTGAACTGCGGCAGCAACCGAGCACATTATCACCATGTGGTAGAGGGCCATCGGATGGCTCCACCGATGAGTGACTTCACGTCGCAATATATCTCTCTCCTCGTCCGTGAGTAATGGGATAGTTTCGAAAGCATCTCGGTCCTGTGCCAGCATAGCACCCTTCCGGAATTCCATTTCGTACTCTTCCATACCATTTTCCCTCGCGTATTTGGCGCCCATCTCCTGTAGTTGCTCGAGGGACATACCAGCCAGTGGATTGGCCAGTCTGGCGTTTAGTCTCGAGATCTCCTCTTCCGTCATGCCGGCAGACGGGTGGCCGCCTGGCGAGGGCATTTCGGTGCTCTCTTTGCCTCCGCTTACCATTGTGTGTGTAAGTGTGTGTGCGGTGACGATAGGATGACGGGTGGCTGGTTTTTGGGTATCGGCAAAGGAAAAATAAGAAAGGAGGATAGAAGACGTCTTTTTATACTCCCCCACATCTCCACAACCCCGCCTCGACTCGACTCCCCACAGTTCGCCTTGCTCCAACACGTTAGCCCAGTCGATCCGGTTAGAATCCATAGAACCCTATGTATGCGTCATGGTTTCTTCCATTCCCCCTCCCCATGCAAATGACGATCCCTCCTTACATGGTCTAAAGTATATCAGATACCTAGTTAGGTTAACCTTCCGGCGTACGTTGCTCAGCTGAGAAACGGCCTGGCACGATGTCAAAGATCTCCAGGCACAGGCCCTTCACGATGCTCATCTGATGTTCGTTTTGACGTCTAGAAGGCAGAGTCCGTACATACCTCCTCGCCAACTGTAACTCTCCGATAGCCATGTACGTACAGTGGCCAAACAACACGATATGGAACTGTTCAGTAATCAGGTGTTCATTGCCAAGAGATCGAACGGCACGCTTGCGGGCCGGAGGGGCAAAACAAGCAATGCCATGGCCGGTCCAGCAAAAACAGGTTAGTTGGTATGCGCCTGATTGACGATCCATAAGCGCGTAATAAAGGTATTCAGTCAGCGCTTTACTGGAATGCCGTATCCGTGTTTGACGGTACCCTATCGTAGCAAGAAGTCGCGCGATGCAATATGTAGGCACCTACAAACTCTCCTCATTCGGCTGTAACGGGCTGTGATCGACATGACGTCAACCCACAGTACTCGTACATCTCGATCCCGGATATCGGAACAATGACAGAAAGCAAGCAACTACTGGCACTTGTTGTCAAGGCTCACTATAGAGACGTCTGGAGGCCAGCACTCGTGTCGCCCGACGGACCCAATTGGGAAAGATGAAAACATACTCTGCTCGGGCACATCAGCGGGGCCATCGCACGGCGGAAAAACTGACGTAGGCGGTCCGTGTTAGGGACGGTCTTTACCTATATACTAGGTATGTCGGCCATAGTTTCCTTCCAGAATCCCCACAATACACGAAAATGCGTATTTCAGCGAAGGTTTGACGTTGCATACGCGGAAGCGGCTCGTCGGGGGAATGTCCCACCGTTCTCCGTCGAGTCGGAGGCCAGGACGGCTTAAAACTATCAGGACCCACAATTGACGGGTTAGATACCGAATCGGGCAACCTTGCGCAGAGTATATTCCGAACCTAGCGGGGTGGTCTCTTCCGTTACGTGATCGCCATGTGAATCTAAATTCTCCCGTGAACCATATCCGGGATCACTGCAGTCCGCCATTAACCGTAAGTACAGTATGTACGTCGGCTGGATACCGACATACCAGGAGATTTCGACGATGTGTTGGAAATGAGAAGACGGCTTCACGGGCCTACGGTAGGTATCCATTAGGTTGCGAGGCCGACGTGCCGTACTAGGACGAAGCCGAACCGCACCTACGTAACTCCGTCCCCCGCGATTAGTTATGAGGGCGGCCCACGGCAGACGGTAAGAGATCAGCGATTACCTACTTGCTGCTAAAGAATCTGGGGCGGCACTGGGGGCCCTGAGGATGGGATGAGATAAAAAAGAGAGGTGTGATTATATCTGATGTCTGTTGTGTTGAACAAGAGACGGACCGACGAGACAAACAGAAAAGCAACAACCGAAAACAATTCAACGTTCAACACGACTGCATCGGGTCTGCCCGGCATAATGGTCGCTCGGTACCGCTGCTCGCCGCAACACAGGCGTCCAAAGTGGATCCTACATACACGCAACTACCAGACCTTATTTTCAGTGATAAGGCCTTCTCCTCCCGCACGCTCACACTGTCCTTTAGATACGAGCACGACAACTCTTAGCGGGTGATCCCTCACCGAACCACCGCGAGATTATATTGATGTCAAGCACTGTGGAGCACATTTATCCGCGGCGCCAGAAAAGTATATCTCCACTAACTCCACCAGAGAAAAGAAAGACAATCATTTGCGCCTGAAAGAACATGAAACTCCAGATCCCGTACGTCGCCGTAAAAATCCTAGAAAAGAAAACAAATTCAACTCAATACAGGCATATCCCCCATGAAACTCCGTGCTCTCCCGTACCGTACCCCATCCACATGCATACACGCCAGCTCTACCCGCAAACTCCAGAATCAAGAAATCTGCAAAGAAAAAAAAAGGCAGATGGCGAGGAGAATGCTCTCTATGCCACAATGTAGACCACAACAAAGAAAAAGAGTACCAACCGAAACTCAACCGCATTCATGACCTTCGCAGTATAGGATGTCACTCCCAGAACATGTTTAAGTTTGGGGTTTTGGTAAGGGAAGTTACCAATTGGTGACAGACTAAATGAACTGATCACCTTCGTCACCGAAAAATTCGTGATCCATCTGGGAAATCTGAGGATCGATGGCGGTACCCTCGGAGGGAAGAACGGGATGCGGGGTCGGAAAGTGCCAAAAGTTATCGAAAGTGAAAGACTCAATGTTACCGGTGAGACCAGGAATTTGATACTCATAACTCGGGATACTGTTGTCGTCGGGGAAGGTATGATCTTCTTGGTTCATGTCTGCTTGAGCTTCTCCCTGTCCGGAGAAAGCACCAATGCCAGCAATGTAGGGGTCTTCCCAGGAGCAAAGATCTGCGAAATTAATGCTGGCGGTTGTATCCTCTTCTCCAGAATATCTTCCCCCTTCACCTCCTTCTCCTGCAACATATGGGCCTCCAGCAGTAAGAGCGTTGTGGGGACCTTTACGGTTCATGCCGGCCGCAGAAATCTCAGCCTCAGCAGTAGCAAAGAAGGAATCAATGTTCAGGTCATCGGTGTCCAGGTTGTCGGTGTACACTCTGAGGTCTCCAGCATTCATTCCGGCCTCGGTGCCTTCGGGAATAAGTTGGTCGTTGGTAATACCTTGATACATGTCTACTGCAGCGACATCTGCTTCGACAAACAAGGCATCGAAGTCCGGGTCACCGGTGCACACGCTAAGATCCCCACCATTCATTCCGGCCGCAGTGCCGTCGGGAATCAGTTGCTTGTCAGAAAAACCTTGATGAATCTCTACCGTAGAGATATATTCTTCGGTAACGGGGGCGGGGAGGCCGTGGACGGGAACGCCAAGGTCTTCGCAGCTCGCTCTAGAAGTAGCCATATGAATCTCCTCCTCCGGGCCATCGGCAAGAAGAACGCCGGTGTTGGTGTTGGAAATTTCGCTAGCCCTCTCCACTGGCTCTTTTCCTTCGCCTCCCTTCCCGTTCTTTCCACTCTTCTGGCTGGAAAACAAGGCCAAAAGGTCGATCCCCTCCAGATCAACCGCCTGGTCCAGCCCTCTCGCCACCACCTCTTCGTTTGGCAGCGGCTCACACACTTTGAGCAACTCACTCAGCGGCTGTCTCTCCATGATCATCTCAGCCAACTGCTTGATAGTCTTTGCCTTCTTCTTCTCGGCCCTCTTCTTCTCCCTCTCGGCCTTCTTCCTCTGTCCCTCGATCTTCCTCGCCTGCTTGGCAGCCTTCGTATGCCGGCCGGTCTTCGGCATGAAAGTACCCTTGGGACCCCTAAGGTACGTCCGCGGTTTATCGGGGTCCTTCGCCTGGTAGGCAACCGAACTTCCTTCCGCGATCATTTGATTCCGGAGTTCCGCGATTTCAGCGGCAGCCTGGGTGTCGAGTTCGAGCTTCCTCTGTTTCATCTCTTCTTCGGAAGCGGTCGGGTGCTTATCCGTCCAGGCCTTGAAGCGGTTGCAGAATTTACTGTCGATGCGGCCCTTCTTGTACTGCAGGGTGTCAGCGATGGACTCGGAAGCATTGGCTGGCCAAAGCGTGCGGAGGAAGCACCGCTGGAGGGGGCGGGGGCAGCGGATAAAAATGTGACCGCTGGCCAACTGCGACAGCGACCGACGGCGTCTGTATGTACTCCAACACGGAGGCCGCTGCCATCGGCGACGATAGCATTGCATGCAACGGGCAGCTGGACCACACTGTCGGTTGCTTTGTTACGCAGCGCACTCGGCACCCATACTCCACGTCCCGACAGGCACAACCAGATCGCAACGCAGCAATAGCGGTGGAAGTAACTTACTGTGAACGAGTCGTGGTTAACTCGCTTTCGGCGCTCGACGTTCCTAGGATCGGTCGAGAGCTTTGTGGCTGGCTTGCGGTAACCAGATTTAGCCATTGTGCCGCTTAGTTTCTTGGGTCTTGAGGAAGCTTAGTTTTCGTTGTCGGTATGTGGTATGGGAAGGGGAACGGTTCGAAGACTCGGAAATCGAAACTATTGTTCTGGATTCCAGGTCGATGGGAAATGAGGAGGAGGGGGGCAGCGGTTGTGGCAGTTTGGGTGGTGGGAAATGAGGAGGAGGGGGGCAGCGGCTGTGGCAGGCGAGGTAGTGGTGTATGTTGTCAGGCTAGGAATCGACGGGGTCATGGAGAGCAGAGGAGGCGTCGCGCAACGACGTCAAGAAACAACCACGGCAGCTAGCCCCACGGACGCCAGCCCTCAATTGAATGTGCCTCGCAAGATTCGCACGGTTATAACCAAATGGCTTCTCCCATTTTTAATTAGGGTTCTGCTCCATCAAAAAAATCGAGTTTTGAAGTTACACGCATTCACAATCGTTGACTCGTCGCCGAGTGATATCGTCTGACGTTCCGGAATATTCCATCGCAGGCTTGGCGGGGTCGACATCAGCCATCATCACGGCCCCCCATAACTACGGCCGCAATTGTTTCTTATCATTGCACATCTCGCTCGACCTACAGCGATCGTGACGGGGGAATTAGCGGTGTATTTTGTCAGGTTACGAATCGCCGCGGCCGTCGAGAGCAGCAACGACGTCGCGCAACGACGTCAAGCAACGATGACAGCAACCACCCCCAGGGATACCAACTCTCACTGACTTCCTCCTCTTTGATCGCACGGAAATATAACCAAATGCGGGCTCCCATCTTTAATTAGAGTTCTGCTCCATCAAAAAAAATCGCGTGTTGAAATCACACGCCTTCACAAACGCTGACTCGGTACCGAGTGATCTCGTCTGATGTTCCGGAACTTCCCGGCTCATCCTTCGCGGGGTTGACGTCGGCCATCACCACGGTCCGCAGTAACTAAGGCCGCGCTTGTTTATCGCCGCTGCACATCTCACTCGGCCTACCACTACCCTCTATCTAGCCTCTAGCCTGCACCTCGCCAGATAAACTTGCCGTCTCATCCTTCGAGGAGTTGACGTCGGCCATCACCTTGGCCCGCCATAATTACGGCCGCGTTTGTTTCTCGCCATCGCAAATCTCACTCGACCTACCACTACCCTCTATCTAGCCTCTAGCATCCACCTCGCCAGATAAGCCGTCGCGGTCCCATTCATTCTGACACCTTGATACGCCAACCATCCCAAATCGTTTCTTCGACGGACGGCCAGCCTTCTTCTCCTCCCCCACAGAAACCGATGTGTATATGTAGTTGTGTGGCCTACCTACCTACCTACCTGCAGATCCGAGTCTCGACCAATAAGTCAAGAAGCCAATAAGCCAGCGCAATTCCAGACGGAAGCAATGAGTCCTGGTTAGGAAAGTTCTCGCGCGCTGCGTGGCAGTTTACTCTAGCCGACTGCTGACAGCACCTACTCGCGATAGAAACCGGCAAGTACTGGAGATCCGACGATCGATCAAAGAGCCATTTATGGGCGTACATAAACATCTAGCGGCGGCGGCGGGGAGATCTCCGCCCACGGCGGCCAGTAGATGGTAACTACCTCTAAATCCTCGTCGAGCTCCTGCTTTGGTCGGTGCTCATCGAGAACTCTGTCCTCCGATTTGCGAATTCCATCAACGAACGAACGGCAGTTACAGTAGAGTGCTTTCATCGGTCGGTCGGTTCGTCAGAATCCAGATATCTTGGGCAGTGGGCACTCTATTTCCACATCCCACATCCCACCAGTTACTACCGCCGCCTGCCACGTCAAGCCCTAACAGCCAGGCAGAAAACACGCCCGCCTACGATAGCAGCCATACATACCCACATCCCACATCTTTATGTAGCATGCGCATCCCCAAACCAGCATCCAGCACCCAGCATCCCATGCTACTCTAAAGTTCTAAACCCAACTCCCACGTCAACCCCTCCTCCAAGCGGACGGCCTCCAGATCTGCACGGTGATGAACTGGACTATCTGGTTAGCTAATGCACGGCGAAGGTTTTTTCTTCTTCCTTCTGGGCGCTTATGCAGCCAGGTATGGACAATAGACATGTATGGACATGTATGGTGCTCTGACTATGCAAGCGGACAATTGCTAGGCTTGCAGTCCCAGAGTCCCAGAGCACCGGACATCATACATGGGCCGGGAAGGATCGGAGGGATCGGAGCCTGGAGGGAGCGAAACGGGGAGTATGTAGGCGCTTACGGCGGATACGATGTTTCGATGTTTCGGTCTTCGGCAGCTATTGACACGGCGCGGGGAGGGGGAGGGGTGGGCACGTGTTTCCATCCCGCGCAACCCTTGGCTCTGCTCGTTCCCAGCCACCGCTTCCCCGCGCACCCCGCCCAGCAAAGAGCGGCGGACCGGATCGAGCCGGCCCGGCTTGTGCGACTGCGACTGCGACTGCGACTGCGCGTCCCCGGGCCGGGGCAGATGAAACCGTAGGTTTCTATATCTATATCTATACCTATCGTGCAGGCGGAGGCGGGGTCTGGAGTAGATGATGGATGGATGGATATATCGAGGTTGGCCCGCCATCTCCCGCCGCGCCCGCACCCGCGGTAACTGAGATTGAGCGCCTGCTCCGGGTGCGACGGTGATTCTTGCGGCGAAACAGCTCGTCCAGGTGCTCTACCTGCCTAGGCGGTGAAACAAGCGGTGAGACCGTGAGACTGGGAGCAGTGAGCACTCCAGAGTCCAATCCAGAGTCCAGACCAGAAATACCTATCTACAGCAGGATCGAACGACGGAGACTCGAGACCCGAGAGAGGGATTGCCTGACTCCTGAGCGCTTTTGTCAGCGATTCGGTGTCCTCAGGCAATGGCGATGGCACCACTCCCGCATCCCGCATCTGCAAGAAGGCTCAGGATACCCCCCGTACCGTACGGTACCCCGAATCGCCGAAATCGACTGTCGACTGTCGGGCCTGCCCCCCCCACCTGTGTTCAATGTTCATACCTTGCCCCGGCCACCCCGGGCACCTAGACTACCTTGGACCTAGGTACTTCACAAGAATAGATCTTACCTATCCTGTTTCTCTAGTGTCCACCGTCTCCACCCCTACAGTCTCCATCATCGTCTCCATCATCGTCTCCATCTCTGTCTCCATCTCTGTCTCCGTCCACGTCTCCGTTCGTAACCGCTCTCCAACCCGCCCACCCAACCCACCCATCCGCCCAACCCGGACATCACCGCCCGCCCCCGCATCCCCCCTCCCCCCTCGACCTCGAACTTTCATGCACGAAATCCCCGCCTACCTACCCCTCTCCCCCAATCCACTTCCTATGTATGTATACTAGGAATGTATGCACCGCAGCAAGACCTGAACTGAACTTATGTACCGTATGCACCGCAGCAAGACCTGAACTGAACTTATGTACCGTATGCACCAACACCAACACTCACCGCAACACCTTTTAGCCCCAACACCGGCCGACACCGACACCGCGCACTTCACCACGTACTCCTCCCACTTCTCCATGCACAGCAACAACACAGCATCAGCGCCCAGTTGACGGAGCACGGTCGTCGGTCGGCACATACCTCATACATACATGAGTACTAGGTACTACTAACTGCTAGTAACTAATGCGCGCACGCACATCGTCCCCAGCTCGCACATCGTCCCCAGTTCGCAGCTCGCATATGTATAAGAAATGGTCAGTTAAGCATCACTGTTAACTACTGCTATGTAGAGTACTGCTACTGCTGAAGCACGCACACATCACACATCACACATCCCATCACACATCACACATCACACAGCGATCAGGTGCCTGCGCAGTTCAAAGTTCCTCACTATAGAATTCCCCACACTGCACTATTTACCCACAACTCTACTTACTACTCCCTTAGGCACTGTATCTACATCCTTACATACAAAATAAACAACAAAATAAACAACAAAATAAACAACACGCAACGCAACGAAACACCCATCTATCCGCAGTCTGTAGTTTGTACCCAAGTTCTCACCGAGCCATACCATGAGTAAAATACAATACAAACATACAAAGGAAACTTCACCGTCCGTCCTCACAGCGCAAGCACCAGGCACAATTATCACGCACGGAAAAAAAACCAGAACCATCGAATTGATCTGTTCCCCCGTAATAATCCCCTTCACCACCACCGTCACCACCAGCACCACGACCACCGTACTACCAGCACCACCACCCACTACCGGCACCACTATCACCAAAGTAAGGTAAAAGTAAAAGAACAAAGAGAGATCAGAATCGAAGTTGAAAAAAAAAAGTTTGGCCACCACCGGCATCCGCACCGGATAATATTACAGTAGAAAGTAAAGTCTCAAGTCAAGTAAAAACAAAAAGAAAAAAGAAGGGAAAAAGAAAATCAACAAGCCGCCTGCCCCAAACAACCCCCCAAACAGCCCCTCCCCAAAACAAAAAAACAAAAAATACTGAAGCACGAAACGGAAACAGAAACACAAGATAGGAAAAAAAACGGAATAAAAATAGCAAAGCAAGCAAGCAAGGCAGCGTTTTATAGAAAGCAGAGAGAGTGTGTGACGTTCAGTAGCAACTGAGAGGTGGTATCAGGATGTGAATTCCAGAACAAAAAACAAAAAAGGTAACAAAGGAGGACAAAGGAAAATTGTTGCTCGAGAAAAAAACGCTGGCGAGGCAGAGAGAGAGAGTGAGTTGTGTAGAGAGGAAACAACAAACATAGAAACCGGTAGATACTGGACAAGCTCAACTTAACCATGGGAGAGCAGGACGCAGATTGTGAATGGACAGGCCAGAAAAAGAAAGAGACCATTGCACAGCCAAATGCACATACATTGAACGAAACAAAATCGACAAACTCCTGGAACCCGGCAAATTTTTGGTAGCCCACTGTATGAGAGAAAAGGAAGGAAATAAACAAAAAAAAAGAAAGAAAAAAAAACACCCCAACCCAATTGTAACGATTACAATCCAGAACAAGCACAAAGTCCGAAAGATGAAAAGGAAAAGAAGAAAAAAGGACAATTGTACATCATACATACCAATATCTTCTACCGCCGCGAGTAGATGCTCTGACCCCAGCCGGCGTCTCCCTCGCTTGGAGGAGTCGGCCATTTGGGGTCCATCATCTCATCATCTCTCCGCATCTTTCCACTGATGTCCATCCCTTTGGCGTAGTATTGGTTACCTGCCTGGGTACTCGGTGTAGGATAGCCGTTCGTAGCAGACACATGTCCCAGATCCTTGTTGGAACTTTTGTGAGTTGGTGCTTCGTATGTCTGGGAGGTCTGTCGACTGCTGTATCCACAGGATGCGGCAGCAAGCACCTCATCGGCGATTTCATCTTGCTCGTCGGGAGTCTCGTATCGCTGCTTCGTATTCCGAACGCTCCGCCGTGTGCGGGGAAAAGTGGGTGTCTGAGCAACGCCATTGACGACAGTCTCACCAGCTCGTGAGGCATTCGGAGTGGGAGGAAAACTGAGGTTCCGTCGCATATTCGCCGAGTTCGATCGATAAACACCGTTGGAATCGACCAACGCTGCGTCAACCTCCTTGATAGCTTTGTCAATTCCTGATACATCCCCAGGTGAGTCGACCAACATGCTACTCCGGTTACTCCCTGAATCCTTTGCGCCCCACATTCCACAGCCCACACCCGTCTCCAGATCGTCGTCTTCGGGCGAAGGAGGCAGACCCGACGTTCGGGACGATAGTCGTCGCGCACGCTTGCGCAGGTGGCTGAAAAAGCTTTCCCCCCGACCGACCGGCGAAGTGAGTGAACCTCCCCCTGGAACGTTGCCGTTCAGCTTGTCCACCGCCTGCTGCACGCCGTTGGTGTATCCATCGTTCTCGTGAGACTTCTTGGACGCCACCGATAGCTGCCTTCCAATCTTCTTCACCGCCTTTTCCTCCTTGCTTCGGCGCTCCTTGCTCGAGGATGTTCCGTTCTCGCCGCGAGCCGCCTGTACGCTCACGGCATCGCTCAGTGGCGAAACTGGCCGTATCGACGGCAGGATCATCATCGGAGCCCCATTGTTGACCTGGCCATCGCCAGACGAAACTTTTGGCGCGTGCCACGTGCTTCTCTTCTCCGGTCTCGGTCTCGTCTCGGGATTCGTCGTGGGAGGAGGCGAAACCATAAACGACTTGCGGAACCACGAACCTTTCTTCTCGAGAGTAGGAATACTATCGGTCATCGAGTCACGCGATGGTTTCATCGTGAGTTCGGAAGTCTTCTTGACTATCCGCGAGGGCGTCGAAGTCCTGGGCAATAGCGGATCCACGGCGTCCTTGAAGTATTCGTGCTGTATTGCCTGCACCGATGTTGGCCGGCTCCGGGGATCCCACATAAGACACCAGGTGACGAAATGGGCCAGCGATGTGGGCCATGTCGGAGTCGCGAGGATCGACTCCATGGGAACAGGAGCCATCTACGATCCCGTTAGATTGTCCATCATCTTTTTTTAGGAACGATGCGCGGATGTATAACTCACTCTTGGAAAGCTAAAACCCAGCCGTCCGGCTAACCGTGTTCCCTCCCTCCACTCGCCTCCACCCATCTTCTTGCCGCTACGTCCAACCCACTGTCCTGGAGAGCCCATCACCTCGCATACTCTCCAGACCTGGTCAACCTCGTTTCCTCCAGGGAACAACGGCTTCAGTGTTGCGACCTCAACGGCCATGGCGCCCACCGCCCAGATGTCGACCGGCGCGCTGTACTCCCCAGCACGGAGAAGGACCTCAGGGGCCCTGTACCACCGGGTAGAAACGTAGGTAGTGTAGGGCATCTTGGACGACGTTTCCCTCGCGAGACCGAAATCTGCAATCTTGACGGAGTACACGGGAGGAGTGGACGGAGGCGTGACCATCGCCGAATACTTCCGGAACGAGCCGGTATCGTTAAGGTTCGTCGCCGATGTCGATACTAGGATGTTTTCCGGCTTGATGTCACGATGGAAGAAACCATTTGCGTGGATGTGCTCGAGGCCGGAGAGAATCTGAAACCTAAGATCTGTTCAGCACAAGCTGTCGGACATTTTTCTCCCTTCGTTTTTTCTCTTGCGGATATCAAGGTGACCCACAGTATGCTCTTGACAACGCTTCCTTCCAGAAGCTTTCCCTCCCGGGCCTTCATCAACTGGTAGAGATTGCCATCCATGTACTCCATCGCGATGTGTAGCTTTTTCGTGTGCGGGTCGAGGAAGATATCCAACGCCGGAACCAGATGTGCGTGTATCGGCAGTTGCCTGAGGAATATCACCTCGCGGAGTTCCAAACACGGCGCGAACGACTCGAAATTCTTCTTCATCGTCTTGATCGCTACCTAATTTTTCAGACGAACACATAGATTAGCGAAGTGCCCGTGATCGTGAAATCGCAGCCTTCCGACGGGTTGGATCGGACGTTCGTCACGAGAAACGAGAAAAACCTACCACGCTACCTCTCCGAGCTACGTTCGCCCCCGCTGTCCGGACCTTCGCCAAAACGACACTCCCGAAACTCCCATCGCCGACTTCTTTGATTATCTCGAAGCGATCTGTTAACGGCAGATTTGACGAGGACGCGTAACCGAGGGAACTGTTCGCCATTTCGGGCATTATAGCTAACTTGCGAGGGTAGAATAGGAGATTCGGAAAACTAGATTCTGTACGCCGGAGAAAGATCGTCAGTTTCTAGGTTTTGCTTCTCGATCGGAACCTCCGCCTAACTCTGTCGGTTTCCGGCCCTCTCGCTCTCTCCCGACGTCGCGCGAGGACTGGCTTTTTCTCTTTCTCTTCCCACAAGGAGCAACTAACCTTGAAATATTAACTTCTAAATGTGATCAATGCGACTTTCCAACGCGTCAAACGCCGAACGATCTCTACAATGCAACGTCCAAGCACAAACTCCGGTGATTAAAAAATAAAAAAAATAAAAAACTGGAAATTGAAATGGAAAAGGAAAGGAAAAAATCCGGGATTTCAACGACGACGCAAAATGAGGGTTAGGTCGATTATGGGTTATTGTCGATGTCGCCCGTCCTCAGAGTATCAGCAAACGCCGTGTTTCCAATCCAGCAGTGGGAGGATGATCCGGCCGAAAGCGAAGAGGGAATCGCATGCAGTGTTGTGTTCGTTCGAGCTCGGGGGAGGGGGGACTACAGTGTCCCTAGGTCCGTTACGAAGGACCCGCGCGAAGTAGAGTAGTTGGTAGTGGATTGTTGGGTGTGAGGTGGTGGAGACCGTAGAATTGAAGATGCGGGTGAGTCCAGCTTTGGCGGCAGTTTTGGGAGAGAATGTGGTGGTGGTAGTGGTGGTGGTGGTGTTGAGAAGCTGACGGTTGTGATGGCGGTGGTAGGAGTGGGTTTAGGTGTTGTTGTTGGGGGAGGGGGGGGATGAGTGAGTGTTCAAGAAAAGGGACGAGTATGAGTGAAAGGGTTTCCTGGCTGGCTGAGGGTAAGTAGGCGACGGGAAGCCGAGAAAACAAGTTGCAGCTGCTTGCGCAGGATAAGGCAGTTGAGTAAGTTGAGTTAGAGTAAGCTGTTACTTGGGATTAGTTGATGAAGAGGAACGGGTCTCCTATAGGGGTGTCTCAGGTCCGTGCGGCAGGGATTGAATGGAACCGAATCTCTGGTTGGGTGGGGGGTGGTTTATGGTAAGGGATTTTGGTGGAGGTGTGTGTGAGTTGGGGGTGAGTTGAGCAGAGTTGAGTTGAGTTGAGCGATGGAGGATGGAGAGGAGAATGGAGAGTGGAGGAGTACAAGGCTCCAAGAAGCTGTAGAAATGGAATATGTCGGTAGGGTAGGATGTTGGTTGCACGCACAGCTCGAGGTTCACGCAGCGGGTTGGTGGGCTCGTTGAATGGGGGGCGGGGGGCATGAGAGGGGGCTGATATGTGTGTGTAAGTGAGTATATCAGAGAAGATGATATGTAACTATTCTACAAGTGCGGGATGAAGTGAAGGGGCAGAGACGGCTGGATGGGGGAAGAGGGGGGGGAGGGGAGAGGGGGGGCAGAGTGTTTTCGAGGATCCCGTTGGATGTTGGTGTCGATCGCCGCCCGCTGTGGTGGCTGTATCGGCTCCAAGGAGAAGAAGAAGCAGAAGCCGAAGAATTCGTCGGGCACACTTCTGGGTACGGTGATGGAGCAGTGGCCAAGCTGTTGGGTAGCATTCATCACAGCAGCATCACGGCATCACAGTTGGGCAGTGCAGCAGGGCGGGCGGCGGCGGCAAGGACTTTTTTTTGTCTCGAACAGAGCCACAAGTCACACCCCACTCATCATAGGCCAAGGAGGAGAGCCCACTCGAGGGACACGAGCCGGCAAGGGAGCGGAGCGGAGCGGGCTCAGGTGGTTGGCGAGCGAGCGAGCGAGCGACCGAACCAGTGAACGAGCGAACGAGCGAACTGACCGTCGACATGGACTGGACTTGTGCTACCCCTGTCAGGAAAGCGACAGGATGCCTGCCTTTTGCTTTTTCAAAGTACCAAACCTCCACAAGTCCGGTAAGTATGGTATGTACCTCCATGTCCAGCCAGCCGGCTTCTGTCGAGTGTTCTTCATCATTGGCTCGAAGTATGGGAAAGGCAGCACCGAAGGGCGGCGGGCACGATGAGGGAAAGGATTGGAGAGGAGAGGGGAGAAGATGAGCGGAGAGGATATGAGAGGAGAGGAGGAGAGAGGAGGAGGGGGAGGCCGAATCGAGAGGCTCGAGCAACTTCAAAGGTGAAGTCTGCGGACAGATGTCTACATACAAGTGCCAACTACAGAGCGACAAGTCTGCGGACAGATCCAAGTGCTACCGTACTGCCCGGTAGCGTGCAGAGCGACAAATCTGCGGACAGACACCTACACCGCTGGCTTGCAGACTTGCAGAGCGAGATGGCCGCACTGTGAGGTCAGCGGTAGGTGGGTGGGTGGGGGAGGGGGGGACGAAGGAGGGGCGAGGGGAGAGGGAGGGGCGAGGGGCCTGGCGGGTGGGTGGGGAGAGAGATGGTCCCAAGACCTCATCCCTCCAGTCGAATGTGCGGCCTCGAGATATCTACTCCACTCTACTATATTCTGCATAGTTGGCCCCTCTATCTCCATCGCCTAGGTACTCTACTAGAGTATATCCTCTCCTTCACTTCCTCCACTCATCGGCCGGCGAAGTACTCTAGAGTATCTGATGCTCGCTGTGGCGCCTCCATCCCTTCACGTGGTTCGCCCAGGTTTCCTTTTTCGGGCCGTGTTAGATTGTCTCCATCATCCCCCCCCCTAGCCAGCCAATTAGTTAATGCCGGCCGGCGCACTGGTCCTTCAATCACAACACACGAAGAAGAAGCACGGAAGGAGAGGAAGAAGGCGCAGAAGAATACCCAAGAGGCACAGCACAGCAGAGCAGGTGGAGCAACAAGCTGCGATGCTGCTCATCATCATCGGATGTTGCGGCTTGCTCGCGAGTCGCGATGGGGGGGACTCGCAGAGTCCATTCCGTACATAACTCTGCATGCCCCAGTGCCTCACGAGTCCTCTCCTCCACAACCACCACCAACTCTAAGGAGTTATCTAACGTTGAGATGCAAGCCCACAGACAGTCGCATGCATCGCGTCGGTGAAAGCGACTCGGAACCAACCGCTAAAAGACCAAAAGGAGACAACTGCAACTTCGGTCCTAGCCTGTTTCCCCCTACTCGAGCTAGTTAGCACTTCCCGACAGAAAAAAAAAGGGTCGCAACCCACTCTCCCCTCAGACCTTGATCACCTGGGGAGGTAAGTAGGAAAGCACATGGTTATGTACTCTACCTAAGAACCCGAAGAAGATGAAGGAAAAAGAAAAGAAAAAAGAGGAGTCGATACGCTGCTGTACGGGATCCTATGATTGGCCGATATGCCGTGCGGTATTCTATGACTGGCCGCATACACGCCCGCAGAGGAAGTCTGAAGTCCTGCTGAAGCGCTGAGGATTGCGGAGGGAGGGAGGGAGGGAGGGGTGGGTGCGCGCGGTCTGTAAAACGTTTGTGACCCGCGACTGGGATTGGCGCGGCGGATTCCAAACGTTTGGAAGGGTTATCCATGGAGCTCAACCAGAACTTGAATTCGATGGTGAGGGGGAAAGAAAGAAAGGGTCCTCCATGAAGACTTACGACACCAGATAATCCGATCTCACGCACGTGTCTGGCATGCAGTCGAAGGAAGCTCCGAAAGCTCAAGCTGGAGAGCTCGGAGGGAGCTCAACGGGTGTGTGAGTGGGCTGGTGGGTGGCGATATCGAAATACCATGGCAAGGTGGTCCCATGGCCGAAGAGAGCTTGCTTGCGGGGCCAGGCCTCTCTCTGCGCGGTGGCGGGCCTGGAGGGCGGAAAACATGCCCGAATCGTTCCCGCGCACCTTCTGCGAACCTTGCGAACCTTCAGGGCGGCACATACATAGCACTCTATTATAATTCTTCATGCGCATGAAATCCTTCGAGCCTGCGAGCCGCCTCTTCCTTAGGATTCCAAAGCACTCATCAGCCAAATTCTTACTAATCCCTCGCTGACTCAATACACCCTCCTCCTCCTATTCATCCTCCTCACCCTCCTCCTATTCCTCCTACTCTTCCCCCCTCTTATACTACACCCACCAGCCTCCAAACACCCTGAGGACTACACACATACCTACATCCCCACATACATACAAACCGCTCTGCTGCTGCATGAATATGACGAGTCAGCCCACGGTCAGCACACATACACACATGCTCTACATAGCATGCGCATACATAAAGTTAAGCGTAGCTGCGTAGGTCGCCAACATGCCAAGCCCATTCCCCCAGCAAGCATCTCCGGCAGCAGCCCAAAGTTCAAACGAATCAGTGCTCCTCGGTTGGTTGCTCGCCGACTCTCCATGCCCACCACCACCCACAGCACACCGCTTGCTTGCTTCCGATGGATGGACGGGTGGATGGAGGGGTGGATGGTGGATGCATCGATGCAGCCGACGTTGGACCTTCGCGCAGCGCATACGGTAGATACTTGCTCTGCCAATAGATAGCACTCGTGCTCGAGTGAGCGATGCACTGGATGCACTGATGGCTGGCTGGCTGTGATAGTCCTCTAGAGAATCCAACAAACGCTAGGCATAAATACCAGTTACATACTCGGGACCAGACCGGTGGTTGATCATCCTCCAATGCTCCAATGCTCCATCTCAGCTCAGCTCAGCACAGCTCAGCTCCGGGCGCGGAGGGAGGCTGGTCCACTTCTCTTCTACTCTTCTCTAGCCTCTAGGTACTCCACTCCATGTATCTAGAGTACACCATGTATCTACACCATGTATCTACACCATGTATTCTAGATAACTTGCCACCGCGCCCGCCGACCGCGGGAGGGACGGGGGTTAACGCTGAGAATGCTACCTACATCGATACATAGGGTAAGTACTCCACACATCCACACATCGTAACGGCCGATCACTGCAGGCAGGCCGGCAAGCACTGGGCAAGCAAGCATTCAAGCAGGCAGGCAGGAGTTTCGAGTGTGCACACGCGTCACCTTCCCGAGCTCTCTCAGTCTCTCTCTCTCTTTCAGACGTGTTGTAAACAAAAGAACAAAAAGTAAAAACAGAAACAAAACAAAACAAACAAGTAAA